CCAATCTTTGGCGAGAATGCTTCCCCGATTTCCACATAGCTGTTTCGGACGCGAAACGAGGTCAGATCCAGGGAGTATTCGTAGAGGCACTGTACAAGAATTTTATTGGTGAAATTGGAAACAAATGCCAGGGCTACAATTCCAAAAAGAGCAAAGTACCCAAGATGGCTACTCTTTGGTTTGAGTTGAAGATATTCCAGAATGTTTGTAAATTACTCGTTTTGGTAGAACACCGTAGGCTTTCTTTAATCTGTCTGCTTACAAAAGTTCAAACGGCTACGAATTAAAGTTCAGACGTTTAAATAATATGGAAGAAATTGAAGTTTAGATATGGAGTCCAGGGCGTAACAAAGTCATCATCAAATGTTTGTTTGCTCACGGGCGCTTTTATAGTACAAAAATGGCAACTACGGTTATTCGTAGGCTACTTGTGACATAAGTCTTCATTCTCTTGAACATAGGCAAGTATGACGTGCACGAGCTATCATGGATGCTTCAGTGTAACTGTACCACGAATGTACCCATTTAAACCTAATTTTAGAGTGGTTTATTGTTTGAAATTGTCCGGAAATTGGGTATTGCTGAACATGAAAATGATAAAAGTAGCAAAATGACAGCTAAAAACGCGAAAGTTGTCGCTATAACATGCTTTATTTTTACAATTTTAGGGGCGAAAGCGTTTGCAAAGTTAAAACTGTTTGAACTGGCGATCACGTGGTGTTATCAAGGATTAGCAGTATCCTTTTACACTTTATATTCTTCCATAGCTGATAAATAGTTTATTTTCGGAACTTGTTGTACACACTTCCGTTACGATTTGTCTACCATTTTTCTTGACTAACGGTTCGGTGCTTATTTGAGGGCGGTGCTTAGTTATCTAAACTTCTTCATTACGAATTACACAACACACAACAGTACGCGATATTTTCCTCTATTTCTTTGTTTGTTCCAAAACGACCACAAAAGCACAGAAAAAGTGGAATTTCTAATAAAAGTTAGTTTTTAAAAAGTTTGTATAGCAATAACAGTGTCAACAATATTAGTCTTGTTAGCGTTTCAATATTAATAAGAGAGGATTATCCCCTCTTTATAACCATGTTACAGGGAAAATGCTGCGTACAGTCAAACCTATATATAACTGTCACCCTTGAGAAATGGGTGACCGCTATATATATATAGGTTTCCCTTAAATTCAACTGGATGTTGAGTTCGTTCAACGCTTGTAGTTCCCCCATTCGATTGCCATGAAAAGGTTAACTGAGGGTGTGAATGGGGTTAACCAACTAGCGACAAAGGGCAAAAAATATTACAGACTACCGACAAAATGAGTAAAAAATTACCGACTACCGACAGGAAAAATATTAACCGACTACCGACATGGGCTGATATTATCAATATTTGTTTTCAGAAAAAAGGGCATTTTCCATTTTTTTTTCCTAGCCGTTAGGAAGTAACTTCTTTAAATTTACGACTCATCAGATGGCCTAAGGGAAAGAATTTCCTTTTTTTTTTGTTAACACAGGTACATACCTTAAAGATGCTACCGACTTTATAAATTTTATTGAAAAGTCAAAGGCGAAAAAACCGAACGTTTCTTGTTTCGGTCCAAGAAATGCTTAGATTAATCCTCAAAGAAACTTTTTTCCCGTTTAATGGAAAGCACTATCATTACAAACCCACGGTACCGCGATGAGCACAAAGACACCAGTTTCCTTTCCAACTTTTTAATGGCATATACTGAAACACAAAGTTTAAGCAAAACTGTCTTTAAACCAACTGTTTGAAAACGCTACGTAGATGACATTTTTTCCCTATGGGATGATAAGTAAGCCAGACATCGTAGCTTTCTTCGCGGAACAAGTAAACTTACATCACCCTACTATGAAATTCACGGCCGAAATATCTGAAAATGAGACATTCTTTTTACAAACGGTTGTATACCAAGGCAGAGCATTGAGCGAAAAATGAGAAAAAGCTATCCTTGACGAAAAGACGCATTTCAAACGGAAACCTTATAGTATATACATTTTCACCTCTTATCATCCACCAGTTGTTAAAGCGCCTGTTTGACAAACGAGAAGCCTTGAAAATCCAGGGGCACCCAACGAGAATATAGTTTAAAACCACTTAAGCATAGCATTGTTAAACGTATTTTAGTGTTTAAACGGTAGATATAGGCATATTTTTATCCCCTAAAAATTTTTCATCTGTTCGGATTTCCTAGCTAAAAGTCTAGTGATCCGAAAATTATAGGGATCAAAACTTACCTTTTCGAAAATTTCAGCCAGAAAAAAGGCTCCCAAAAATTCTAGGTGACCTTTTAAAGATAAAAATCCTTTAAAAATGGGCAAATATACCATTTTTTAGATGTTCGAAAATCCTAGGAGAGGCAGGCAAGCAAGAAATTTTACAACAAATGTTCCGAAAATTCTAGATCTCAAATCGTCTTCCGAACAGATATTTTCCGAAAATTGTCGTTGGGTGCCCCTGAAAATCCTACGAACAAACTCTGAGGAAGTATTTCAGATTTCAAAAGCGCTTGATAGACAGAGGCTAGCCACACAATTTTGAAAGAAAAATTGCTATTAGAAGTAAAACTCACAGAAAGGAAGGCAGCTCTCCTGAAACAAAACAACAAGGAAGAAGAAGAAATATTGCCTTTCGTGGCACAATACAGCCCTTAGCGTCTATTATAAAAGAAGCTTTAATGAAAAAGTGGAATCTCATGCAAAACCAACCACTACCTTGCCAAAATTTAAAAGAACCACATAAAGTGCTATTTCTTTGAGAAAGGAAAATTATGGCAAAGGACATACTTGTTAGAGGTCGTTAGAGCCAAAACATAAGAGGAATAGTTGTGCAGCCTGTCACCCCTTGCAGTTTTTCACTAAAAGTAATTTAAGTATCCAAAAGGCTAGAGTCCATTAATTAATTAATTAATTACTTTTTACTGTGCCCTGTAGTCGACAGGGAAACCAAGTTCGCATTTACAATAAAAGCTTTGATGATTACATCAGTACTATATTCATTTGGCAAACAATGGAAATAAACGATCATGTTGCATAAACAAACAGAGTTAATGAATGGTTTAGGTGCAATCAAATGAGGCATTCTTACAAGTTTTACTATTTCCTTGGGGATCAAAGTCTTGAAAAGTGGGTGAAATGCATAAAAAATATTAATAATTAACCAGCGTTTTTACTTATTAACTGAGATTTTCCGACAACCGACGAAAATCGAAAAGTTTAACCGACTACCGACAAAGATCGAAAATTTTAACCGACTACCGACAAAGTTACTGAATTTTAACCGACAACCGACAAGTGGACCCCCCCCCCCCATTCAGACCCTCTTAACTGATTCGACGATTTCGCTAGCATTCATTTTTCCGTCTACTTTGGAGCACACATCTTGAATTTTATCCTTTATTTCATATTTGATCGTAATCCAATTTGTTGACCATTATAAACAGGCAAAAAATATAATGGAATTGTGCATTTTGGGAGTCTAAAGGGTGACCGCATCCGTTATAGAGAGGAGACCGTTTTAAACAGATCAACGTACAGAACATATATGGCAATATATTCGGAGAGTTGTCCAGTAGCCTGTAGTATACTGGGTGACCGATATATACAGGGCCGTTATATACAGGTTTGACCGTATTTTTTTGTTTTTAACTTTAGGCTGCTCATAAGGGGTAACGCTCTTATAGTTGTATTCAACCTATGGCAAGTATACTTTACTTCAACTTAATTTCGAAATGACTATTTACACCTTAACCATTTGGAAGATCGACGCGGAAAACACCACGTTGCTTGAACTAAGGGAAAAAGCGACGAGTAGAAGAGCCGTGGAAAACGAGGTATTTTGTTTTATTTCTATAAAATAGCATTTTGAATTGTTTTGATTAAGCGGTCGAAGTGACCTTTGATATTACTGATATTACACGGTTGATTCTAATAGAAGAGATTCAATAGCCGAATACCACCATTTGTTCCTTTTTGGCCGAGGTTAATTTACAGTGAATGGTTAAATCGTCTTTCTTGCATCGAATTAATTTCGATTCAACAGATGATGGAGCTTGAAAAAGTCACATATGAGATTTCAAGGGTTTGAGCTATTGATCGAAGTTAATGTCTATTTTACAGAATTGCCCAATTAAACTAAATATTAGTTCATAACCATTAGAAAAAACACAGTGACCGAAAAATAATTTTCTTAAAGAAACTTTGGGCGCTTTCTCTTCAACCAAAACGTCCACTTTGAATTTTCGGCAACTTCCAGTAGCAAACGGAACAGTATTTTTCAAAACTTCTTAAACCGAGGGACAACCTCGCGAGGTATACCCAAATTTTCGAAAAATTTTTAACGAAAGATTTCTTTCCATTCATTTTTGCTCCCGGGATTTCCAGGTAGAATTTTTGGTTGAATGGTTCCCATTTCGGACTGATTCAACAGCTTCCGGTATTTCCAGAAACTTTTCCGGAAAATCTCTATACCATTTGCCGCTGTTTCCAAATTTTCGAAAGTTTTGGCTGAATGTAAAACACCCTTTGATTCTCTGTACGATAAATTTTAAAGCCGCGAAAATAAATGGACTTTTGGCTCAAGGCGGATTGGTCAAATATCAGCTCTTGTAGATTTATCCGCTTAAGAAATAAAGTTCATTGGTAATACTTCTATACTTGAGTATATATACTCTAGAAACTTGCTGTCCGAGCTATATTATGAGCTAATTTATTTCAAAGCCACGATCTGGCTCAAGCGAGTAATAGCGGGAGTTTGTATTGCTGGGGATTTGGCTGTGTTAGCAGGGGTCGTCCGAAATATCGAGGTATCCGCAAGGGGAGAGTTGATTGCCACAATAAATCTTGCGGGCTATTTTCTTCCTCACAAAGGGTATAACTTTACATTAAAAACATCTTCTATACCATAACTTGCTTCAAAAGAGGTTTTGTTTTACATTTTTTTCTAGGCATGCCCAGGAAGTAAAGGCAAACATGAAAAAACCCGAACAAACTTCCATAACAAATTGGTTGTACAGTAATTACCTTGGAGAAAAAGCCTTTAAACGAGGTGATTTTAAAATAGCCCGGGATTACTTCGAGATGACTTTGAATGAAGCCAGAGAGATCAGGAATAAAAACGCAGAAACAGTTAGCCTTGGCAACCTTGGCCTCGCCTATCACCATCTGAGTGATTTCAAAAAAGCAATCGAGTTTTATCAGCTGGCTCTAAAAATCGCAAAAGATACTGGAAACAAAGATCAACAAGGAACTAGATATAACAACCTTGACAGTGACTATCAGTCTCTCAGTGAGTTCAAAAAAGCAATCGAGTTTTATCAGCTGGCTCTAAAAATCGCAAAAGATACTGGAAACAAAGATCAAGAAGGAACTATACATACCAACCTTGGCCTTGCCTATCAGTCTCTCAGTGAGTTCAAAAAAGCAATCGAGTTTTATCAGCTGGCTCTAAAAAACGCAAAAGATACTGGAAACAAAGATCAAGAAGGAACTATATATAACAACCTTGGCACTGCCTATGAGTCTCTCAGTGAGTTCAAAAAAGCAATCGAGTTTTATCAGCTGGCTCTAAAAATCGCAAAAGATACTGGAAACAAAGATCAAGAAGGAACTAGATATAACAACCTTGGCAGTGCCTATCAGTCTCTCAGTGAGTTCAAAAAAGCAATCGAGTTTTATCAGCTGGCTCTAAAAATCGCAAAAGATACTGGAAACAAAGATCAAGAAGGAACTGTATATAACAACCTTGGCCTTGCCTATCCGTCTCTCAGTGAGTTCATAAAAGCAATCGAGTTTTATCAGCTGGCTCTAAAAAACGCAAAAGATCAGGAAACAAAGATCAAGAAGGAACTAAATATAACAACCTTGGCACTGCCTATCAGTCTCTCAGTGAGTTCAAAAAAGCAATCGAGTTTTATCAGCTGGCTCTAAAAATCGCAAAAGATACTGGAAACAAAGATCAAGAAGGAACTATATATAACAACCTTGGCCTTACCTATAAGTCTCTCAGTGAGTTCAAAAAAGCAATCGAGTTTTATCAGCTGGCTCTAAAAATCACAAAAGATACTGGAAACAAAGATCAAGAAGGAACTAGATATAACAACCTTGGCAGTGCCTATCAGTCTCTCAGTGAGTTCAAAAAAGCAATCGAGTTTTATCAGCTGGCTCTAAAAATCGCAAAAGATACTGGAAACAAAGATCAAGAAGGAAGTATATATAACAACCTTGGCCTTGCCTATCAGTCTCTCACTGAGTTCAAAAAAGCAATCGAGTTTTATCAGCTGGCTCTAAAAATTGCAAAAGATACTGGAAACAAAGATGGAGAAGGAACTAGATATAACAACCTTGGCAGTGCCTATCAGTCTCTCAGTGAGTTTAAAAAAGCAATCGAGTTTTATCAGCTGGCTCTAAAAATCGCAAAAGATACTGGAAACAAAGATCAAGAAGGAACTGTATATAACAACCTTGGCCTTGCCTATCCGTCTCTCAGTGAGTTCATAAAAGCAATCGAGTTTTATCAGCTGGCTCTAAAAAACGCAAAAGATCAGGAAACAAAGATCAAGAAGGAACTAAATATAACAACCTTGGCACTGCCTATCAGTCTCTCAGTGAGTTCAAAAAAGCAATCGAGTTTTATCAGCTGGCTCTAAAAATCGCAAAAGATACTGGAAACAAAGATCAACAAGGAACTAGATATAACAACCTTGGCAGTGCCTATCAGTCTCTCAGTGAGCTCAAAAAAGCAATCGAGTTTTATCAGCTGGCTCTAAAAATCGCAAAAGATACTGGAAACAAAGATCAAGAAGGAACTATATATAACAACCTTGGCAGTGCCTATAAGTCTCTCAGTGAGTTCAAAAAAGCAATCGAGTTTTATCAGCTGGCTCTAAAAATCGCAAAAGATACTGGAAACAAAGATCAAGAAGGAACTATATATAACAACCTTGGCAGTGCCTATAAGTCTCTCAGTGAGTTCAAAAAAGCAATCGAGTTTTATCAGCTGGCTCTAAAAATCGCAAAAGATACTGGAAACAAAGATGGAGAAGGAAGTATTTATAACAACCTTGTCGTCGCCTATAATTCTCTTAGTGATTTCCAAAAAGCAATGGAGTTTAATCAGCTGGCTCTAAGAATCGCAAAAGATACTCAAAACAAATATCAAGAAGCAGCTGTATATAACAACCTTGGCGTCGTCAATCAGTCTGTCGGTGATTTTAATAAAGCGATCGAGCTTTTTGAGCTGAGTCTAAGAATCAAAAAAGATACTGGGATGAAAAATGGAGAAGGACCTACATATATAAACCTCGGCGTTGTCTATAAGCGTCTCGGTAATTCCAAAAGAGCGATGGAATTTTATCAGCTAGCCACAAGTATAGCAAAGGAGGCTGGAAACAAAGATGTTGAACAATGCGGATATGATAGACTTGCTCAAGTTCTTTGGTGTCTTGACGAGTACTCCAAAGCCGAGGAGTGTTTTAAATCCTGTATTGAACTGGTAGAGGAAATGAGAGTCCTTCTTGAAGGAAACGACGAGTGGAAAATCAGCTTTCGGAATGAACGTGATTGCGTTCGTCGTTTAGTGAGACTACAGTTACAACAACGCACTGAACGTAAGACACTCGAGGCGCTTTTAACAGCTGAGAGGGGACGAGCAGAAGCTCTTATGGACCTCTTGGAATCGCAATATGGTGTCAGGAAATCGATTCGTTCACAGCCGAAACAGCAGATGGAACTTATCATTTCAAACCATATTTCGTCACCCACGTTATTTCTAATGAATGATACCCAGTCAGTGAATATCTGGATGCTGTTAAAGTGGGGAAAGCTTTGTGACTTTGTGCAACAGGAAGTTAGCAGTGATGACTTGACATCAATGACTTACCAAACATACAAACAGATTGGTGTGAACAAAAGCCTGTGGAAAAAGATTCGCCCCCAGCTGCAGAGAGAGATCGAAGACCAGGGTGGTGCTTTAAAAGTATTATACGACATATTCATCGCTCCAATTTCACACTCGATAGGTGACGAACTCGTCATTGTCCCTGACGGGTCATCGCTCTTGATTCCTTATGCTGCCCTCGTGGACCAAAACTCCAGGGCCGGGTTGTTCGAAGCTGGGTTAAGATAACCCTGGGTTAGTGCGAAATTTGAACTCAGATATGAGAGATTAAAAAGCAAATTCAGTTTAATTCTCTTTGCCAACAATTTGATATTTGGATACTCTAAAAAGAATAGAGAAAATTATCCGAGAGAGTGCTTTTGATAAAAAGATAAAGAAACCGGGGTTAAAATTTAACCCTGGGTTAGTGCTAACCCGCGTTCGAACAACTGGGCCCAGGTATTTAAATGAAACGCGTAGAATTAGATTGATTCCATCACTGACAAGCTTATGGCTGCTGGCAGAATGTCCGGAGGACCGCCATAGCTCATCCGAGGCTCTACTTGTTGGCAACCCGTGGGTGGAAACTGTACGCATCAAAGGCTGCAAACCGTTTCCGCAGCTTCCAGGTGCTGAGGAAGAGGTAAAAATGATTGGGCAAATTCTAAACATCGAGCCTCTCACCGGAAAGAACGCCACAAAAGATCGGGTTTTAAGCGGGCTCAACTCAGTTTCGTTAGTGCACATAGCAGCTCATGGTCGTACAGAAACCGGAGAAATCATTTTGTCTCCTAATTTTTCTAGTAGTGCCAAACTTTCTTTTGACGATGGCAGATGTGTTGGATGCAAAAGTGCGCGCCAAGCTTGTTGTCTTAAGCTGCTGCAACAGTGGGCGAGGAAATATCAAAGTCGAAGGAGTGGTTGGTATTGCACGTGCCTTTTTAGGAGCCGGTGCGCGTTCTGTTATTGCCACACTGTGGGCGATTGATGACGAACCCACTCTTGCGTTTATGAAACCTTTTTACGAACATTTAGTAACAGGGCAAAGTGCAAGTAAGTCCCTTCATCAGGCCATGAAATGGATGAGGGAGTCGGAAAAATTCAATGCCGTGAAGCACTGGGCTCCATTCGTGCTGACCGGTGATGACGTGACATTGAATTTCGGTCAATGAAAGGTGAGATCCTCTCTGTAAGATAAGATAGAAAAATAATCACATGTTCGTAGACTGGAGAAATGAAAGGGCTTTTATCTTTGGCTCCGCTCTTAGATTTCTTGCACCTGATTGTTTGGAGACCGGGAAGCCTTTCACTTTCGGCAATGAGTACGATTGAGAAACAAACAACACGACAGAAAAGTAGTCATTTAATCCGCAGATCAGCAGAATAAGAATAACACTTTGTACAACTGATGTAATAAACAACAAAATGGCAAACGAAGATGTAGCTTCATTTGAATTTTCACACCTGAGTCTTTCATTCATAGATTAAAAGAGAATCAAGAAAATATAAAAAATACAGTTAGTAAATCAAGCTTAAGAGATTTCATCTCTAAGCCGTTAACTTTTCAGAGTCTATCACCATTACTGTCTTCACTTGTTTTCGACCACTAATAAGCATTTCTTTTCATGTTCAGTTAAAGAATTATTCACGGTATAAAAATGAATGCACCTGCAGGAAGAAAGAGTATTGTGAACAGGGCAAATTCCCGCCTCCTGTGGGGTACTCCTCTAAGAAAATTTGGCAAACTGTTTTTTCCTTCTGAGACTTAAACCGCTTCTCTCAAAAGTCAAATCGGAATAAAAACATACCCAATTCCAGGCCTTTCTTCCAGGGAGCACAAATTTTAGGCTTAACTGATTTCGGGCCCAGAGTCTATACCCAATTTCAGGTCAAAAGAATCCATTTTGCTTGGGCCATCCATACTGTAAATCCTCTGTTAAGCCCCTCCTCTCTCAAATAAGTTCCCCCCTCTAATAAGCCCCCCTTCTTTTTTAAGCCCCTCTTCCCCTTCCCCCCTCCCCTTATTATTCTTCACTAATTTATGATATACTATATTTATCAATCACAACTGTAACACTTCATGTGGACTGGTCCACGATAGTTTTTTTCACCAGCTGGACTTTCAGATTTGTTTTTGATCCTCGGCTGCATGACCTAAAACCATGGTACTTGAGCTTTTACACTTTGCAGTTCTAGTTCTTTATGGGGAACTGATACCATCGTCCTTACTAAATTATGTTGGCCCCCCTCCCTCAAATTTGTTTGAAATAAACCCCCCCCCCTCCCGGGAGGGGCTTAATAGAGGGTTTACGGTAACTATAGAGCTTATTTAAGGGATTAGGCGCCCACCCAACCTTTACAAAGAAGTGGAGCCGATAAATAATAACTTGGTTGTTGCTGTCTTGAATCCATTGCAGGCCAACGAAAGAAACAGATGGATTTCCGATGTACATTTGGAATCGTCTTCACCATACTGAATCCCCACTGCGTTTCTTTCTTGCGACAGGATCAAATGCTATCATCTTTCACTCCAGTTTAACTGGTTGCTATCCATAGCAACAGACGGCAGGGAACAGTTTCAATGCAAATATAGTCTCGAATAACAAAACTGGACCATTATTTCTGGAACTTTTTGTAGATGCAAACACGCCTTTAAGCTTTTAAAAAGCAGGATAGCAGATGCGTGACATAAGCCCCTTTAACAATGCGCTGTACAACCAATCGTTCTCGAACGGACCATGTGATGAGTTGTTATCAAGTGAACTTTCCCATCTAGAATAGGTATTAAATAATTGACTTTCAGTTTTATGAGAGCTCATAGATTTCATTTGTTATTGCTTTTAACGTGTGCAGCAAAAATTCAGTTTAGAAATGAGATGCTCATCTTAGTATTTTGGGTCGGCCAAGTTAGGTAGGACCGTGTGTATTAAGAAATATGCAATTATCCTACTACGAGAAAGTTAGCCACAATACTCATGAGATCTCTCATACAAGATACCCCAATCTGGGATAAATATAGTGTAAAGTATACTCAATTAAATATTCAATTTGGACGTGCCCGTAATATACAACTATCCCCCGAAGAGAAAGTTGTTTTAGTATTTACCAAATCAGTCGGATAAAAATGAGAAAAAGCACCTTTTTGTAAATTAAAAACGTCACTTAGTGGGAACTTTATTTCCAATTTACGAACATTTGAGGGATTTTGTCAAGTGCATTTTTACGATTTTGTCGCAAATTCAGCATGAAAATAATTTTTACAAATGTCAGTTGCCAGTTAAAATTTTGACCGTTTGTCAGTTTTCAGTTAAATTTAAGGCTTTTTGTGAGTTGTTATTAATGATTAGCTATGAAACTTATTTGTATATTTTTGATGCGAAATTTAGCTTTAAAGACACATATAATGTAACTAAAATTAATGATTAAATTCCAAAAGTGATGCATTAGTACCCTAATTTTTATCAGTTTTGCTATTGTTGGCATTTCAAGTGGCCCTCCATTTCTCAAGTCTTGTGTTACTCCCCTTCACTCAACCGTCTTTGCTGGTCCAGAGTCCAACGTTTCCAACCATTATGCCAATGGAAATTTATACCTTCAGAATATATTATTGGGAAGTAGATCGAAACAAAGACAGTATCTGGATCATCTCGGAAAAGACTTGCAATTGCTTTTGTAACGCCCTCATTAGCGGCCATCGTATGTTGGCGCGTTCTCAAAGAAGCGTAAATTTGGGATCATAGGTCATTTTTACCACAGATGGAACACCATTAGCCTGCGTAGCAGGCGTCGAAAGGGGTAGGGGTAGGGGGTAGAGGGGATAGGGGATAGGGAGGAAGGCTAGGCTAGAACACCATGGGTTTTGCAGTAAATCATTGACGAAATATGACACTTAAGTGTCTTGCCGGCTGCTAAGATTACCCCAAAAAACGCACGTTTGATCACATTGTCTGACGAAAAGAGTGGAACGATGCTATTTAAGGCCTTAAAACGTTTTCTTTAGAAAATAAGGGACAATCAGGTCCTTCGTCAGTTGTCAGTAAAACCCAAGGCAAAAATGTCAGTTGTCAGTTAAAATTTTGGCCATTTGTCAGTTGTCACTTAACCCCATCCAGACCCTCTTAATACCACTAGCAAGGCGCACTGAAAACAAAACGCTTGACCGTCGCTTGTCCTTTAACCAAATGTGGTAATCAAGCAAGATGGCCCGTTCAGTTTCTTAAACACTCAGTCCACCGCAAGTAGATTTAAAGGGATTGAACTTTGAAAAGTTCCTCCCTCTAGTCTCAAAATCTTTTAAACGGCTGTGCTTTGGTTTTTCTTTTGCAAATTCCGAATTGACTACTGATGTGCAAAAATTTAGAAAAGTGCGTTCGATGCCACTTATTTCGGAAGCAGAACGCAAAGAACGATTCCATTAACTCTCCTGCATCAGAAATATCCTAATTTCTGAAGTTTAAAAAAAGTTTATATACAACTCTTAACCCAAACGGGCATCAGAGTACTAGAGAGTTCAAATATGGACAAAACGAAAAATGTATACTCAGTGGGAAACGCCTGATCAATTAAATGCATTTAATAGAATTTTACTATGTAACTTTCCCTGTCCCACACCTTGTTTGTAAAACAAACAAAATGGGGGACTTACCGTTGCCTCAAATACGTGAAAAAAAGTTCCGACAGCAAGAAATTAATCTCGACCAATTCACTGATGAAGAGCTTTGCAGCAAAAACAGGTTTGGGCGAGAGTCAATTCAATATTTGGTAGAAATCCTCAAGAACGCCGGACCTCGAGAGAAAGACGAGGAGAAAACATAGGCAGTTGCCAAAGTGGTTACTACTTCATGTAATAAATTTGGTCATTATCAAACATGGACTGTGGACTGCGGATTGAATATAAGGACTATGCTATAAAAACTGGGCCAATTATTTCCAGGTAGATGAAGAATTTCGGTTTCCTCTTCTTGTCCTTTGGTTCAACCTAGACCACTTCATTTTCCGCCATTTTCCTTTACTTCACCCGTGCCTAAACATTTTTCGCGCCATATTTTTTAAAAGTAATCATCCCCAAAACTAGTTAAACCGGTTTATTTTAACACTAATCTCCGATTAGTTAATCGTGGGTTTATTTCGCTTTCAGGAACTCCTTTTTAACCCACGATTAGTTATCCAAGGAATAAGAAAATTAATCGTGGATTTGACGCTAATCGGAGGATAGTTTAATCGGCTTTCCAGGAACCGGGGCCAGGCTGTTATTAAGCATGCGTCGCATGTCCGTAGCCAGCATTCGTTTGGACTTCCACTAAGAATGAATGGAATGCACAGAACGCAATTTGATCACTCGCGATTGGACCTTCTATCACTCGTGATCTGATCACGAGTGTTTTGACCGACTATCACGTGAAACTTGCGCAAACACAGCGTCGGAGCAAAAGCGTTTTGACCTTCAATCGTTGCCAGCCGCACTTTGTAACCTTTGGTTATTACTAGTTGATTGCCATTCAAATACAGTAAAATATAAAATGAATTTTTAATGATGAAGCTCTCTCCCTTCCTTCATTCGTAGTATTCGAACACAATGTAATCACAAATAAACTCTATTCAAACGATACTGCCCGCGATAGCTATTGAATAAAAACACTTTCAAAAAGGATTGTGCAGTATACTTAAAAACCAGTATCTTGGATAATTAAGTAAAGAAATTAACAAATTTGAGAGTAAAACTCGTGGAAAGTCATGCAGCGATAAGTTGAGTTCAATACAAAAAATATTATTCTTTCTGTATACTTAAAAACAATAAATAAGCGCCGATATTGATATCTATTACGTATTTATTCTTTTTAAAAATGTTTAAGGAAATTCAAATAAATTTCAGCTTAACAAAATTAATCCTTAGAAATGTTGCATTATTAACGTGCGGTGTGCTTAAGAAGGGCAGGGTTTTTCAGTAATGCCACAGCAAGCAAAGCCTTTGCATATCTGTGGTCAATAAACAAAACAGCAAACGCTTGCATTTGTTTTGTCTTTTAAGATCAAGAACTTCTCTCATTATCTTTGCTACAATGTTTTCTAAGTTCTTTTTTGGAGAGATTTATACCGGAGACGAAAGAAGTCTAAGAGCAAAAAAAGAAACAAACAAACAAACAAAAAGAGAAAAAAGTCAACACGATTTCATAAATTATAAATCATTTCCAATATTTTTTCAAGTTAACCTTTCGGTTAAATAGTTCTTAACGAAATAAAATAAACCAGAAGTTTGTTTAGGCTCATTTTTTTGTCAAACATATCTTATATATCCCTTTATGACTAGCCGATAGTTTCTTTCTGATTCGATAAGTTAAGGAAAAACTCTGAATACAGTTCCGTCAAAGTTCATGTTTCTGGTACTCTTCTATTAGAGCCAAGACAGAAAAATGGCAGGTTAGGCTTGCTCTTGTTCAGAGACTGAGCAACTGCGGAAGGTGGTTTTTCATACGCTCCATGCACCAGAGTAAGACTGAATTAAACTATTTAGATTCAGCGCGAAATTTTGGTGGCCTAGATTTGTAGTCTAGTATGTACTTTATTAGTAAATCTGATTGCAATGGCTGGACAGTGGAAGAGAGAAGACAAACTTAAGGGAATTTTTTTTGTTCTTACAGTTCATTCCAGGAAAAATAAAGATAAATATCAAAATGTTCCTTTAATGCTGACACTGATATGAGATGCCCGGCTGATCACATGTTGATAAGCCGTCGTTTATTTCTGATTACGTTTAATTTGAATATGTAAACATTTCAATGAAAGAACTTTTTGCTTTAGACGTGCATCTTCTTTTGTTCATAGCAAAAAATATAAGAAAAATTACAAAACTATAAACGAGAATTGAATGAAGTCTGAAATAATCTACTTTTGCTTTAAATGGGAACCTTAAATATTCAGAATCCACCTTAAAAATGTGAGAATGTTTTGAAAATCCTTTTGTAAAAGATATTAGTTTAGATCCCAGACCTCTCCCGTCTTTGCACATGCGCAGACGTTATTCAGCTCTGTCATGAAATACTAGAAAACAAGTGTTTGAACGCGACGACAATGGCCACTCCATTTCTTACGCAATTTCCCGCCAAGAAAAACGCGGGTTGCACAAATGTATCGCACGATTTCCCGCCAAGAAAATATAACGGACATCTCCCCCCGCCGGGCTGACACCTGATTCCCTTCCCTTCTCCCGCTCCCCAAAGAGTGTACTGGCTGGCGTACGTTGACGTCACAACCAAAATCTCCCGGATGGATGGTTTACCGAATTTTCTTAGCTATGGGGATCCGCTCGCGCGCGCGAGGGCGCCAGGTGCTGCGGTATAACTTTCCCAGTCCACACGTTAATAGCTCACCTCGTAAAAGAGTGATATCCTGGGGCCCAAACTAAGCGCAGGCATTGATATCAGCTTAAGCCCAGTGATGGCAGGAGATTGAACTCTTCGATTAAAGAGCACCAAAGTATGCTTGGGAAACTGAAAAGCGTAGCGAAAGCCTTGAAAGAACATGATTATACGCTTTTCCAGTCTAATGGACTTATCTTGAAGCAAGGAGAAGAATTTGCTCACTACTTCAATGTAAAGCAGATCAAGTGCGTCGAGAGGCTAAGGTGCAAAAGGTAACGCGGGATTCAGAGACACTAGAAGAAAGTAAAGACGGTTTTCGTAGCATTTCATTTTTCTACATAGAGACATCAGCAAGGGAAGAAGAAAAAAAGAAAACCGTCGAAAATCGAATGCAAGAAAAAAGAAAAGGTTTGAAAACAAAGTCCAACGAGTGTATAGTATTTGTGTCGGAAACCCGCTAGGTAATGATCTTCCGAAATGTCTTCTGTATCCTCCCTGCCTTGCCGTCCCTGAAGGGTGCATTGACGTTGAGACAAAAAACACATGTCAACAACTTGTATGTCTCGTCATAATTCAAGGTGGCTTCTCGACTTGTTCACCCAAACTATCCCAAAAATGAAATGGTTTTTAAGAAATTTTTTGTTAGCGTTCTAATCTAAGTGATGATGACATATTTCTGCTTATGCAGTAAAATAACATATTTTGGTCTAAAATAGGGCCAGGATTCGGAGAACAGGGAGGCACATCCCAACTAAGAACTCCCGGGGATACCCCTCGGGGGCTATCCCTTCGTCGAAGCGAATCCTGTTGTCTCATCACAATCAATCAATCAATCAATGTTTTATTTACCCACGTTAACGTCAAAGAGCACAAGTGCTCGTTCAAAATACGAACGTGCAAATATCAAAAACCTTGAAGTTCGTCGAAAATATTTCAGTACTAATCTTCTTTTCAACAGTGTGCGATATGTGATGAAGCACTGTCTCCTTTTTGATATAATGCTTTTTCATAATTTTCTCTTTTGCTCTGTAGGTCGGCTTGCTCAAGTACAGTGGAACAGTCACTCGATGAAGAATCCCATCTTTTAACAGAGGAAGATATTGACAAGTTATCAATCATTTACGACTTTTACATATTTTGAGCAACAACAATTTGCCGTCTGTTCTTTTTGAAGAATAGACTATTTTTTTTGCAGTGTACTCTGAATCGCTGTATTCTCCTTGTCGTGTGGTAATATATGGTGGACTGTCAAGTTCTGGACTATAGAAAAGATATGTTCTCTGGGATTTCGTCCAGTTTTTCTGGGAACATACCTGCCCATTTGAGGTGGGTTACAAACGAGTTGCCCTTGTTTGTAACGAGGGTATCAACTCCACAACCCTTGACAGTTGGGATATGGTTACAGCTAGAGTTTGCTACGTTTCTTTAATTGTTATTTTACATATCACAGTTCAAGTGACACGAGACGGGGCCTACGATTTTCCTTCTTCATCTGAGAAGACTATAAATGTTAACTAATTGCAAAAACCAGCGCGAGGGCAGCGCATTTTCCTCAGTTATCTCAACTGCCACCCTGAGGCAGGTGCGGCCGAGAACGCGGGCTTACCTCGCCCTAGTGGCTCAAAAGGTGGATAGTGCTATGCATCGAATAAATTACTATCCAGTGGTTAGCGCAATTGGATTTCAAAATACCTATCCGGTGGATAGCGCCATCTGGCCTTTTCTAGGCGTTTAGATAGTTAGATAGTGGAGTGCGGCGCTAAGGAGTCAAAGAGCAGGGGAAAAATAAGGAGGGAGTGGGGAATAGGAGTGAACCCCTTCGTTCTTACCCCCGACCCCATCCCTTCGCTGTTTATCCTGCTAACATCTTTATGCGCAATTCACACAATCTGAACTCCAACAGGATGAGCGCTATCAAACGTTTGAATAACAGGAGCCATATTTCTGCTTGCAAGTCAGCTCATGTCTTATCTTCTTTTAATCATTTTCTTTTAGCTTTCACGGCATGTCCCATCATCCACATGGATACTGGTCTATAGTACAAATCACCACAGGCTGAGAGACGTGGAATCTCCTGTCCTGTTGGTAGTAAAGGATCAAGAGGGATTTGTAAGTGAGCTCTATTTATATAGTGTCATCTGGAACCGATTTTCGTGTTAATCATAACTATAACAAAATTCTCAAATCTGATTGCCTATCAACTGACGGTGTAATACTGCCTAAGTAATTGGACAGTACGCGCCATCGCGCGCACACACTTATTTTAAATAACTTTTTTTTCACTGCTAGCAGAAAACTCTCGGAATTTCTTGTGTTCTAATTTACTCGTGATTAAACAAATCGGACTACGACGTTAATCACTCATGTGATTGCAGAACGAATTAGACTCCATTTAGTCCTATTACCTTTATTAATTAATATACAATAGGATTTAGGAGTGTTTTTTTCATTACTCTTTCCTAATTTCCAATACTTTTTCTATTTGTTGGTCTTTTAGACCACTTTGTTTGATGAAAAACGTTGCATTATATGTCATCATTGGAATTTGCCGGTCGAAATCTCTTCCTCAAGCTATAATTATACTAGAGGAGAAATGTTTCCGGATTTATTACATTTAGCTATAGGGTATTCGGACTTGTAGGCGTTTACGCAAACACAGCCAACTGGAAAAAATTAATCCTCACTGTTCACTTTAGCTTACGGATTCATATTTTTGGGCACGCCACCAAACTCGGATGTTTGTATTTCGGGTTCAGGCAGTCCAACTAGCATAGACCTAGCTTCAAGCCTTATGCATGTATCCCTGACCTATTTGACGAAATCGCTTTCATGTTTCGCCTTCTTCGAACGATTTCTGTCTCCTGCACAACATTTACATTATTATGATAGGTAACTTTCCACAAAAGTGAAAAGATCGCAACAGATACAGATAGTAGGTCCCTCCACCACAAACGTACACGGTTAATTTGGGGCGTCTATATCTCCAGTATCATACATTTTGAAAGTGAAATCCAGGTCTTTTTGTTAACATTTGTTTATTAGGTGTTTGATGTATTTTCTCCAATTTCTCCTCGGATGGACGCTAGTTTCTGTAGGTTTGGAAAATCATATTTCTTCACTTGTAGACCACAGTTCAAGGTAAGCTTAGCGATAAGACCTAAAACTAAATATATTGTGCAGTGTTTCATCTGGCGGACGATCAGTTCTTTCCACCAGCGCTTTTTCTTCACCTACGCACCAGACCCTTAAGACGTTTTTTAGTTTATCCGAGCTGTATACAGGACGCATGTCAATGAATCTAGTGACCGACTTAGCTCTCAAACGACTTCTCCCATACAGTAAAATGGTGGTATAGTGTTTGAGGGCTCAGACGTTTTCCTTGTTTCAAAAGGTATTCTTTTTTCCTGCATCACTGTGATTCTTTAAAAAACACGACATAGTTATTAGCCCCATGTAAAGGAATCCAAGACAGTCTCAGATTCTGGATTCCGGATTCTTTGTCAAAGGAACTTGGATTCCGCATTCCAATGGTTAGTGCCATTCCGGTTACCTTGAGCTGTATTATGGATTTCAAAATCCAGGATTCCAGATTCCACCAGATAAAATTCTCAAATTCCAGATTCCAGAAGCAAACATTTTGCGGATTCCGGAATCTGGATTCCCTTACCTGGGAGTTATGTTCATTATCGGGACGCAACGTAGTCTCACCCTAGGTTTCAGAGGATATTTTTTTCTCATCGATATTGATGTTTGCCGCGTCAACGAGGCGCCGAGAGAAAAAAAAGTCCGTCTTGGGAGCCTTATCAAACCGTAAGCACGGTTTATTTCATCTTACGTATTTTAAGAACGGACTTCTGGAGCCAGGGTAACGTAGCCTCACAATATCACATGTAATTAGAGATACAGGTATCTACATTGGCTTGGCTCTTTTTGTAGATTTATCCATGCCGTGGAAGAAATTCTTATTACATGACAGGAGATGCAAATGGACTTGCCTTCGGAAGCAGTGAGTAAGTGTTGTCTTTTCACTGTTTTTATATTTAATGGCACTCTTCCCTTCCGGATGTTGACAAACAATACGTATACTATACTATTTTGTTTATGAATTTAATGATGATTTGTAAATTACATCAATGAAATAAAACTTATTTTAATCGACAAAGCAATGATCTTCAGTCTCTAGTTGAGTTATGTGTTGCTCAACCGAGTCGTTCGCAGGTCACGGGTAGGAAAGAACCCTGGGAACGAGGTCGTGTGTTGATGAGTTTATGTCTTTTATATTAAGACCCTTCTTCGTTTGACTATTTTCATATTTTTGTGTCTAACTGCGTAAACCTCAACCCGCCTTTGTTGTTTGGGCCTTTAAGTTGGTCCAAAACTGCCCACATTGCTAGATGCAACATTTGGATTTGTATTTTGATTCTATAACAGCTTTACATGACTTCGAACGACTTTTAGGACCAACAGCCCGTTCTATTATGTTGTGTTATGTTAGAAAAAACATGGTGGGTCTGTTCACGCGACGAAGTACCAAGAACGCTTTTCAAAAGTCAGAACTGGCCCACCAGATGTCTGAGTAATTGAAACGTGAAACATAAGTTTTTTCTCGAAATTTTTTTCTGTAATCATAGGAGTGATTAACAAAATCGTGGGAGTCCGATTTGTTTAATCACGGGTTTGATCACAGACTGAATTGGACGGTACAAATCGAAGTTCTGTTACAATTTTATCATAATCATTACAATTTTCGAAAAAACAAATGCATTTTGTTTTTGTGAAAGAGCTTTTAATACCAATTATCCAAAATTAGGGAAAAATAACAAAGAGACATTGTATAATGTTACAAATTCGTCCATTTTTGCTTTGGTTATAGTGATAAATTCTGCGATTAAAGGTGTCTGATTACAGTCAACTGTCCGATTACAACCCTACACAATGATTGGTGAAAAATAAAGTAGTCAACGCACCAATTAAATTTGAGGAAATTGTAACGGTTGTGATGAATAGTGGAATTCTCTTTTTGATCGGGCTGCTCTAGCCAGCTAAAACTGACAAATAGTAAGCGCCCCTAGTATGATGACGCGAGGACACAAAGAACGGCTGCGTCAAAGACTATGAAGTACCTTGATCACTATTAAATTTTTGTTAAATTTCAGGGGGAAATTTGGGCTTTGGTTAGACAGTGATCTGTATCATGGTAGAAGCACTGCCTGCGAAACTTATGACAGCGAGATGCTTTTCGCCACCGAGGATTTCATTTGTCTTGGCGTTGAAGTCTGGACTTTTGGGTAGATGGAAAAGCAAGATCAGTCTCTGTCAAGTGCCAAGTAGCAATCAGCCATATAATATGCGATTTAAAGTGATGTTACAGGGGACTATTCGCAACAACGATTTTTAGCGCAACACAGCGTTGCAACATTGTTGCGACGTTGATTCAAATGGTTGCAACATTGTTCCAACATTGCAGCGCTGTGTTGCGCAAAAAATAGTCGTCGCGAATCGTCCCGTGTAACATCACCTTTACGCTTTTCAGATAATGATACAAAGCAGCTGTCATCTTATTATGGGCGTGCCTAAAAAGACTAGGGTATCTTTGGGAAAATCCAAATTCAAAAACGGACCCAATGTTCATTTACTGAAATCCAGGAGAGATTAAATTTTTAATCTGAAGAATCTACAAACTGAGTGTATTCATTAGTCTTCTTCGCCTCCATTTTTAGGGTCGTCACCCAACGCTTCTTCCCCCGTTCCCCGTTGCGTAACGACCTTAAAGGACTATGGATTCATCAGAACAAATTTAAATCTGGATTTTTAGGATTCATGACCCAGACTCAGCCAGCGTGCCTTTCTTTCGTCACTAATCCGAAAGAAAGCACACACGGGGGCGGTTGGCCAACCACGCCTCACCTGTTCGCGCCATATGCTAAAGGTCCTAAAGACCCATTATCGGATTTTCCGTTTCTTTCGTTGTAACGAATTCAAATAATCTGAGTTCGATAATGTTATCTTGGATTATCCCAAAGAAACGCCCGCTAATCATGTGAGCAATATCTGTCATGTGTTTGACCCTAAAAAGTGCGATCAGGACTGATGTAGATAATATGGTGGATATTATAGATATTATTGTAGATATGATAGTGTAAAAGATTACTCAAAGTGGAGGTATTTGCATCAAGTCTCATGAATGAGTAACCCCAGGAGATATTAGATACATCCTGAGGTTTGGCTTGTTGTCTGAAATACTGAATTACAAAGAAGTGTCAGTAACCGAGTAATCACGTCAGTTGTCGGTGACCACTGTCTTTCAGTTTTGAAAAATTGCTAAAGGTAAAGCTTGACATGACGCATAGCGTGACTGTCACGCCAGTGGTATGTTTCGTGGTCTGTTATTCAAAGTAGCGGAATCAAGCTAGACTACTCAGAGTCCCCTATTTTTCCGTAAGATCGTCGAGATCGAGCGCTTTGCGTTACGGGCGGCCATCTTGGATGCAATGAGTGTCAAATCTACTTAGGGGGCGGGGAACAGTTTGGGAGAAGGCGACAGAAAGACGGTCCTAACGCCTTTTACCATCCACTAATTAACCAACTCCGCTTTACATGAAAAACATACCAGACACATCCGCGTGTTTACAAACATCTCGTACCCAATTTCGAAACAATGATTTTGTATAATACAATTCACAGGGACATTATTCCAAATAAAACAAGCAAACATGCACATTTGAAACCTTTTCCCAATAGAAGAGGCAATTTTTCTCGCCTCCTCTGACAATATCTCAAAATCTTATAAATATCTTTAAAAATATCCGGATGTTTGTCTCTAGGCCTAACCCGACAGCTAACCCCCTCTCCCTCGGTACATAAGAAACCAAGATGGCTGTCCATACCGGTAAGATCCTGATCTTGACGACTGTGAACAGTCTAGAAACACGCGCAACAGTTAAAAGAGACCTTTGCCATTCATGTAATTATTCGAAATTTTGGTACAAATTATCTTGGTCAACATGAGAAAACAAAAAATTAACAACTGAAACTAAAGAGATATTTTAAAGATATTTTTGTTTCATGAAATTCTTTTGGTGGAACAAAAAGATTTCTATCATACAGACAGCTATAAGTGTAAAGAATATATTAATATATTTATAGGGCATTTGTAAAGTATTAGTTTGGATGAATATTAAGTATAATTAAGAACGACTAAACACGTGGTGTAGTATAAATATCCATCGTTTGACGAAGATAAATTTATGTATTGCGAACCTATATATGTTGTGTTCGAATAAATTACAACTGTAGATCATTTCTAGAAGGATAAGAAGCGTAGCGTGTTGTTTGTTCATGTTGATTAAAATGTCATTTTTAATTTTGAGTCGGGCGGTTTGGCTCGGACGATATGCCGACTGAAGCGTAGGCAAGAGATTATTCTTAACCAAATGAGGCTGAAGCTGATCCGAAACTGCTCGTTCAACTAACTTAGAAACAAATTGCCGATTACTTATGGGGCGAATGCTTTTGAAAGCAAGGTTCGTCAGTACTGACAGAACTAAACTTCTGTAGACAGTTGGTTAAAGCTATACCGGCACCACAGCACCCCTGAAGCCCAATTTTCTATCGTACCTTTAACAATTATTCCTCGAGTCCGAATGGCCTCTGAGTCAATAGCTCATGAGGCCAAAGGGGCTATTGACTCATAGGCCATTAGGGCGAGAGGAATAATTGTTTTAGTAGAATTCAACTACAGTGAAACCTCTCTTAGGCGGACACCTTCGGGACCTTCCCAAGTGTCCGCGTAATAGAGGTTGTAAAAATTGCGCAATGTTTGTTAATGATCAACATTCAACGGTTACTGTGTACTGTGATAAAGTTGCATGTTGTTAGAGAAGCTATCCAGAGTTCAAGTTCATTACCTTTCATTGCCAACTTTAATTTTTTGTAAATGCAAAAACATTAACTGACTTCAGTACGTATTTCAAGGACGTAATTCAATACTGCTATTGTCAATTAAGTCCGTTGTCCGCTTAATAGAGGTTTTTAACAATGGAAATTAGCCAAATACAACTTATTTTCGTGTCCGCGTCAGCTTAATAGATCAGAGGTGTCCGCTGAATAGGGGATCCTTATAAAGGGAAATAAAAGACGTTAATTTCGAAACCAGGCTTAGTGTCCGCTTGATTGGGGGTCTTTTTACTGTAGTTGGTCAAAAATATCGAGACAAACCAACTTTACCGTTAAAGCTAAACTTGAACCCTTTTTTACCGCCAAAAAGTCGGCGCTTTTCGCTAGCTCAACCAATCAGAACGCAGCATTGATAATAGACCACTTGTTGGATTTTACTAATTAACTTTATCCTCTTCCGTTTCTATGGAGAAAAGTTGTCCCGGGAAATAGGGTCACTGCCTGGCCTCCCAGCCAAGTGAACTTAAGCGTGCGTTTATATGACCCCTTTGCTTGAGCCAAGAGCTTACAACAGCGCTCACACATTCTCAACTTATTCATCTTGCGAGACTGCTTCATTCACGTAATTGAGAAGAATGGAGATGAGTCAGTTTGAGAGTGAGTGATTTTCATAGCCACGCGCAGCGGCTCGCTGCCAAAAAACACTCATCCATGCAGATACCGCTATAGATACTCAGGCATACTGAAAACAAAACGCTTATGACCGTCGGTTGTCTTTTAACCTGGTATTGAAGTAAGACTGCCCGTTCAATCTTAAAGAAGTTCTTAGACACTCAGTACAAAGCACGCAGATTTAAAGGGATTGCACTTTGAAAACTTCCTCCCTAGAGTCTCAAAATCTTTGAAACGCCTGTACTTTCGTTCTTCTTTTGCAATTCCGAATTAACTCCTGATATACAAAAATGGAGTCAATGCGTTCGATTGCACTTATTTAAAACTCCTGCGTCAGAAATTTCCTATTTTTTTGACATTTAAACGAAGTTTGTATATAACTCTTAATCCAAAACGAGCAGCAGAGTACTGAAGAGTTCAAATATCAGGACAAAAATATACCGTGCATTTAATAGAATCTTTCTATTTAACTTTCCCAGTCCCACACGTTAATTGCAGGCGACAAGAGAAGCCCTCAATTCTAATCTCTAAGCCAGGATTCCTTTGGAATTCCACTAAGAATGAAAGGAATGCACAGAACGCGATTTGATCACTCGCGATTGGACCTTCTATCACTCGTTATCTGATCACGCGTGTTTTGACCATCTCCACGTGAAACTTGCGCAAAGCACTGCGTTGGAGCAAAAGCGTTTTGACTTTCGATCGTTGTCGCCCACACTCAGTACCCTTTGGTTATTACTAGTTGATTGTCATTCTAATACAGTAAATTAGCAAAACTCGTGGAAAGTCACGCGGTGATCCGTTGAGTTCCACATAAAAAATATGATTTTTTCGGTATACTTAAAAACAATACATAAGCGCCGATACTGACATCTATTGCGAATTTATTTGTATAGGGAAATTCATTTAATCCTTTGCAACATTGCATTATTAACGAGCGATGTGCTTAAGAAGTTAATAGTTTGTTTCACGTCGGTGTTTGCCGTGCGTTAGCTCTGGAACATATTGTAACGAGGGTGAATGCTGTATCGTGACACATCGCGTGGCAGACATTCGCGTCGCTTGGCTTGTTTACGTTCGCACGCATTGCGTGCCTATTGCAACTACTCTATTTGGGCGACGCCCAAATAATAAGACGAGCAACAAGCGCTTAGCGACCGGGCGTCGGATTCGAAGTAAGAGCTTCGTGTATTCATACAACTAAATTTTATGCCCTGGATCTGGGGAAACTCTCATATATATCGATTCATGATCATGTCGTGTATACTGAGTTTTTATTATTACATGTTTTTTTTTTTTATTTTCTTCCGTGATTTGAATTTTCTATGTGGGTTATATGGGTATAAAATTTCGCGAGAATGTTTATTTGCGGAATCTTTAATTTCGAACATTCTTTTTTTACAATCGCGCAAAACGCTAAAGAACCACATAATTAAGTGCCAATACGGTCTAAATAAATAAGAGGTAGTTTCATTAGAAAATGAAACACGGCCTTACATCATAGCAGGTTACTCTAAAGAGTAAGATAGATAAATAGCTACCGAGAAAAAAGTTGAAATATTTTTAAAGAAAGTCTTTAAAAGCCATTTCCTTCCCTTGACTGTTTAGTTTCTTAGCGTTTGGACCGCAAGGAAGAAACCACAATCAGCGACAAAATTAGATGAGACACTTTTCCCTAAAAGACCTTTCTGCCGTTTTACTGACTCTAAAAGGACAAAATAAAGCTTTTCTTCTCTCATCTCCCCCATGCAATGTTTTGCGGCTGTTCGAGTTGCCTTGTGGCACGAAATTTACCACAAGGTACCTGTAGAAAACAACAATACCCCAACTTTGAATGAAAGAAAGAGGGGAGGGGTGTGAATTGTTTTGTTCTCTCAAGAGAGGATAGTTCTCTGAAGTTACCCACGGGTACACTGCTCAACAATTTTGTCACCGATTGCAGCTCAAATACTTCAGTTTGAGATATTCTTGACTGTTTAGAGTCAAAATGATTTTTGTGAGTCTTTTGAACTAAGTAGATATGAGCAAAAAACAACGCGTAGGTTACTATGAGCAAAACAATGTAAGAGACAAATGAGTCCTCACCAATAGTCTACTACCGAGCCGGCCTCAGCCTCTGTTTCAAAGCGGGGCTAAGTGCAAAGTCATTGATATGAAAATTTTTTTTATTCTCATGCAAATAAAACTCATTTTCACCAGAAAACTGGGATTTGCACTTTTTCTGAACTGGTATAGTGTATGGCTTCCTTCTTCTTATTGTCACACTGAGATGGCATGGAATACTATTTCTGGTTGACTCCAGAGGTTTTGCTTTAGAAAATAATACAGATTTAACTATGAAAGAGAGAGAATACATGAAAGAGAAATATTGTAAAGCGAAATATTGTATATGGTGTGTAACAGTTTCTAAATTGCCAAGTAACAGTTTTATTTTCGATCGGATGTCATCAAACACATTTTCTTTAAATAAAATATTCTTGCGTCATACTCTTTTGTTTATATCATTTTCTTGAATTGTTACGAATAAAACATATTTTTAGGCAGAATGTCATCACACACATTTTCTTAAAATAAAATTAACCTATTGCGTCGTGTCCTTTTGATCACATGATTTGCCAAAGTCTTTATAATCAGATGACGCCCCTTTCATATCATAATATCAAGATACGACTGAGTGACACGCAACAGAGAAGTTTTTCCCCCGTGAAAATACAGGTAGGCTAAATCTGATCAATTACATCGTTTATTTAGTGAAAGGTTTTCTTACCTGTAACAAGCATATAATATTGTTCAATGTCATGTTATTTGAGCACTTTCTAAACAAGCCACACTATAATTAGTGATCTCGAAAAGTTTCCTGCTGTTTTTATCGCTTTTTTGCGATTCCCGTGAGTGCATTGATAGGGTCAGAAACTAACGTAAGGTATTTTAATTAACAATTAATTGAACTGTTTTTGAAAAACCTTCTTCATTATCTTCGTATTTCTAAGTCGCAATATCTTCAGCACAATTTTTTCTCTACCAGAAGCAATTGTCTGATGTAGTTCGTGTTTTCCCCATTTAGCAAAAAAAAAAAAAAAAAACAGAGAGAGAGAACGAGCCCATGCGGATTTATTTAAGACGGTCATTTCACCTAAGACAGACTTTCCATTCTTGACTTGTGGTCCTTTAGCACAAATTTTAAAACTCGTCCTTAATTAGCCGGGTCCACTAAAGCCAAGCTTCTAAATTCAAATGGTTTTCCTTCTCGAAAACTGAATCAGTTCAGCAAATACACCTTCCCTTAATCCTCGCAATTCAATTTTCTTGCCATTCAAAACATTCAATTAATTTTTTCGATTTTTTTTATCACGGTAGTTCTTATTTTATTTATCAGAAGTGCGAACAAAGCTTCTACCACAGCAAGTTTCAGGGGCTATTCCCGGTTTAAAGTGACGTGGATGTTCGAATGGGAGCAAAAATCAAAAGCCCAAAAAATCCCTGGACCAAAAATTACCCCCCCCCCAAAAAAAAAAAAAAAAAAAAAAATCCCATACACAACTACGCGGCCGGAATAAGCAGGCAAACCACGAATAACAATTTTCAGTTCAATCAAGCCATCCGACAAAATTTTTGCCAAATTTTCCTTAGCTACCCCAAGAAAATCCCGAAATCGAAAATTTCAAACCCAAGAAATCCTTCGATCAAACCCGTCACTTGAAATCCAGAGTACTACTCGGGTTTCGATCCACCCCAATTTCGAAAATCGAGAGTTTTGCTTATGACGTACTTGATAACAGCAAAACAGATTGTCGAATGCGAAGCTTAATTGGAGAGACCTACAAGTAAAACGGAAACAACCACGAATGGGAAAAGAACCAAGTATCCTGTATTTTTTGGAAACCGAAATACACTCAACTCGAAAACGAAGAACCCTCAACTCCGGTGAAAGGGCCTGCAATCAACTAAAATGAGTCAGTAAATTTGAAGTGTGACTATCCCCTTTAGGCATTTGCGTTGCCTCTAGGATCTTTTGCCCACTGCACCGTGAGGCATTTGGAATCAAACGTCTGTCTCGGGGAGGGGAGACTATAGTAGAGTGTTACATTTTATCACCTTACATGGAGAAAGTTTGCGGCATTATTGTGTTTGCCAAATTTTCATGCGGTACTTCTGTAATTGTGGTCTTGAATTCCGATATTTTGGTATATCTAAACATGCGGAATTATTTGTCATTGGCTTGGCGATTTTTAGCATGGTTGTGTCCAATTTTTCGATTTTTCATTGCAGTGTTACGGTGTTCGGTATACCCCTAGCCGCTCTTCAACTTTTTTTTGCGCATGCGTAAACTTCTGCTACAAGACCGGCTTTCATAGTGTGATACCGTGACCAGTTGCGGTTTTAGAAAAGTGTACACTTTTACTGCCAAACAATATTCCCATGATAATGTGTTATGCGGTTAAACCCATCAACAGAAACAATTACCAAGGCATTTATAATAAAGGATGCTGATATCCTATAGCTCAGCCACAGCACCTTCACATTGTACCGTTTATTATTATAATTATTATAACTATCATATTATTATTATTATTATTACTTTTTGAAAAGTTTATTTAAGTGTTAATCCAATCTTAAGTTTCTGTAATTTTCAAAGTAAGAAAAGTGTTGTTGTTGATGTGATCATAGCAGCCAAACATCTTTAAGTAGCAAACCGAATTTAAATACTTAACAGTGTTTTTATCACGAATTTTCATCAACAAAGTATTGCCAATAACGAAACCTGTTCCAAATTATGACGATTATCCCATTAAGTTATTTAAAGCTAAAGGAAACTTTACCGAATGTCACTTCCACCAAAAAGAAACATTATGTTTATAAGGATTATTGCTGCAATTGACTCCTGGTACTGTAACCCCCTGCTGCTACTAAGTCGTTTAACTGGGGTAACAAAAAATAACTGCAAAAATCGTCGCTCTGAATCTGAAACTGAATCAGCTACCGACATTGTCGAAAAGTGAGTTCGCAATAGTTGGTTACTAGGGTAGCCTGAGCGACTGGGCTACTGAATTCTGGAAAGCAGTTTCATGCCTTGATGGAAAGCTCAACAAAAGACTGAATCAGATTACGTGGCCTGTTGTTTGAAAATTGCTTCACGCATTTCTTAACTGCCTGCCACATAATTTTGATTGATTTGTTCACTCAATAAAAGTTTTATACTAATGTGAGTTTACCACTTGGCAAAATGAATGGTTGTTTTAGTAACAGTGCAAATACAAGTGAAGTTAATACTAATTTAAAGCTTTTTACTGATTTTTCCAGATCAAACCATTATGGCACAGAGTGGAAACGGAGCAGCATGTGAGAGTGATCTTACATCACTTGGTACCGCACAAGAGCTGAACTTTGATGATGACACACTGAAAGGTAAAGATTCTTACAACTGTTAATAGTGTATCACCAAAAGGCCTCTAATATAGCAAACTAAGGACAAATGAAGTAAAATTTAAAAAAAGACAAACAACCGTCATTTGAAAACATTCAACATACGGAAGTGGTTAAAGAGTCAAAGTCGACAGTATCTCTACTAAAAGTGGGTTTTTCATTTTCTTTTTTTTTTTCTAGATTAGGCTTTTCGCAGAATTTCTTTTCGAGTTTATCACTTATGGCATAATGAATGGTTGTTTTGGTACTAGTGCTTTACATACAAGTAAAGATAGTGTCAATTTACAGATTTATACTGATTTTTCCAGATCAAACTATTATGGCACAGATGGAAACGGAGCAGCATGTGAGAGTGATGTTACATCACATGGTACCGGACAAGAGCTGAACTTTGACGATGACACACTAAAAGGTAAAGATTCTTACAACTGTTAATAGTGTATCACCAGAAGGCCTTAAAGATTACAAACTAAGGACAGATGAAATAAAATATACAAAAAAGAGAAAAAACCGTCATTTGAAATTATTCAACAAACGGAAGTGGTTAAAGAGGCAAAGTCGTTAAACAGTATGTCTACTGAAGGTGTTTTTTTCATTTTTTATCTAGATTAGGCTTTTCGTAGAATTTGTGATCGAGTTTAACACTTGTGGCTTAATGAATGGATGTTTTGGTACTGGTGCTTTATATACAAGTGAAGATAATGTCAATTTATAGCTTTATACTGATTTTCCAGATCAAACCATTATGGTACAGAGTGGAAACGGAGCAGCATGTGAGAGTGATGTTACATCACATGGTACCGGACAAGAGCTGAACTTTGAAGATGGCACACTGAAAGGTAAAGATTCTTAAAACTGTTAATAGTGTTTCACCAAAAGGCCTTTAAGATAGCAAACTAAGGACAAATAGAACAACGACATAAAATCGTCATTTGAAAACATTCAACGTTTGATACATGAAGACTGAAAGTCGTTAAACATTATCTCCACTGAAGGTGTTTTTTATTATTTATCTAATATTAGTTAATACTAGTTAATATTAATTTAGAGCTTTTTACCGATTTTTCCAGATCAAACCATCATGGCACAGAGTGGAAACGGAGCAGCATGTGAGAGTGATGTTACATCACTTGGTACCGGACAAGATCTGAATTTTGATGATGACACACTGAAAGGTAAAGATTCTTACAACTGTTAATAGTGTATCACCAAAAGGCCTCTAATATAGCAAACTAAGGACAAATGAAATAAAATTTTCAAAAAGACAAAAAACCGTAATTTGAAAACATTCAACATACGGAAGTAGTTAAAGAGTCAAAGTCGACAGTATCTCTACTAAAAGTTTGTTTTTTATTTTCTTTTTTTTATCTAGATTAGGCTTTTCGCAGAATTTCTTTTCGAGTTTATCACTTATGGCATAATGAATGGTTGTTTTGGTACTAGTGCTTCATATACAAGTAAAGATAGTGTCAATTTACAGATTTATACTGATTTTTCCAGATCAAACTATTATGGCACAGAGTGGAAACGGAGCAGTAAGTGAGAGTGATGTTGCATCACATGGTACCGGACAGGAGCTGAACTTTGACGATGACACACTAAAAAGTAAAGATTCTTACAACTGTTAATACTAAATCACCAGAAGGCCTTAAAGATTGCAAACTAAGGACAGATGAAATAAAATATACAAAAAAGACAAAAAACTGTCATTTGAAATTATTCAACAAACGGAAGTGGTTAAAGAGGCAAAGTCGTTAAACAGTATCTCTACTGAAGGTGGTTTTTTCACTTTTTATCTAGATTAGGCTTTTCGTAGAATTTGTGATCGAGTTTATCACTTGAGGCATAATGAATGGATGTTTTGGTACTGGTGCTTTATATACAAGTGAGGATAGTGTCAATTTATAGCTTTATACTGATTTTCCAGATCAACTCATTATGGTACAGAGTGGAAACGGCGCAGGAATTGAGAGTGATGTTACATCACATGGTACCGGACAAGAGCTGAACTTTGATGATGACACACTGAAAGGTAAAGATTCTTACAACTGTTAATAATGTTTCACCAAAAGGCCTTTAATATAGCAAACTAAGGACAAATAGAATAACGACAAAAAATCGTCATTTGATAACATTCAACGTTTGATACATGAAGACTGAAAGTCGTTAAACATTATCTCCACTGAAGGTGTTTTTTATTTTTTATCTAATATTAGTTAATACTAGTTAATATTAATTTAGAGCTTTTTACCGATTTTTCCAGATCAACTCATTATGGCACAGAGTGGAAACGGAGCAGCATGTGAGAGTGATGTTACATCACTTGGTACCGGAAAAGAGCACAACTTTGATGATGACACACTGAAAGGTAAAGGTTCTTACAACTGTTAATAGTGTATCACCAAAAGGCCTTTAATGTAGCAAACTAAGGACAGATGACATAAAATCTACAAAAAAAGCAAAAAACCGTCACTTGAAATTATTCAACAAACGGAAGTGGTTAAAGAGGCAAAGTCGTTAAACAGTATCTCTACTGAAGATGTTTTTTCATTTTTTATCTAGATTAGGCTTTCCGTAGAATTTGTGGTCGAGTTTATCATTTGTGGCATAATGAATGGCTGTTTTGGTACTAGTGCTTTATATACAAGTGAAGATAATGTCAATTTATAGCTTTATACTGATTTTCCAGATCAAACCATTATGGTACAGAGTGGAAGCGGAGCAGCAAGTGAGAGTGATGTTACATCACATGGTACCGGAAAAAAGCTGAACTTTGATGATGACACACTGAAAGGTAAAGATTCTTACAACTGTTAATAGTGTATCACCAAAAGGCCTTTAACATGAGAAATTTATGGAGAAATGAAATAAAAGATACAGAAAGGAAAAAACCGTCCTTTGATAACATTCAACATTTGATACATGAAGAATAAAAGTAGTTAAACATTATTTCCACTGAAGGTGTTTTTTATTTTTTATCTAATATTAGTTAATACTAGTTAATACTAGTTAATATTAATTTAGAGCTTTTTACCGATTTTTCCAGATCAAACCATTATGGCACAGAGTGGAAAAGGAGCAGCATGTGAGAGTGATCTTACATCACCTGGTACCGGACAAGAGCTGAATTTTGATGATGACCCACTGAAAGGTAAAGATTCTTACAACTATTAATAGTGTATCACCAAAAGGCCTCTAATATAGCAAACTAAGGACAAATGAAATAAAATTTTCAAAAAGACAAAAAACCGTCATTTGAAAACATTCAGCATACGGAAGTGGTTAAAGAGTCAAAGTCGACAGTATCTCTACTAAAAGTGGGTTTTTCATTTTCTTTTTTTTATCTAGATTAGGCTTTTCGCAGAATTTCTTTTCGAGTTTATCACTTATGGCATAATGAATGGTTGTTTTGGTACTAGTGCTTTATATACAAGTAAAGATAGTGTCAATTTACAGCTTTATACTGATTTTTCCAGATCAAACTATTATGGCACAGAGTGGAAACGGAGCAGCAAGTGAGAGTGATGTTACATCACATGGTACCGGACAAGAGCTGAACTTTGACGATGACACACTAAAAGGTAAAGATTCTTACTACTGTTAATACTGTATCACCATAAGGCCTTAAAGATTACAAACTATGGACAGATGAAATAAAATATACAAAAAAGACAAAAAACCGTCATTTGAAATTATTCAACAAACGGAAATGGTTAAAGAGGCAAAGTAGTTAAACAGTATCTCTACTGAAGGTGGTTTTTTCATTTTTTATCTAGATTAATATTAGGCTTTTCGTAGAATTTGTGATCGAGTTTATCACTTGTGGCATAATGAATGGACGTTATGGTACTGGTGCTTTATATACAAGTAAAGACAGTGTCAATTTACAGCGTTATACTGATTTTTCCAGGTCAAACTATTATGGCACTGAGTGGAAACGGAGCAGGAATTGAGAGTGATGTTACATCACATGGTACCGGACAAGAGCTGAACTTTGATGATGACACACTGAAAGGTAAAGATTCTTACAACTGTTAATAATGTTTCACCAAAAGGCCTTTAAGATAGGAAACTAAGGACAAATAGAATAACGACAAAAAATCGTCATTTGATAACATTCAACGTTTGATACATGAAGACTGAAAGTCGTTAAACATTATCTCCACTGAAGGTGTTTTTTATTTTTTATCTAATATTAGTTAATACTAGTTAATACTAGTTAATATTAATTTAGAGCTTTTTACCGATTTTTCCAGATCAAACCATTATGGCACAGAGTGGAAACGGAGCAGCATGTGAGAGTGATGTTACATCACTTGGTACCGGACAAGAGCTGAATTTTGATGATGACACACTGAAAGGTAAAGATTCTTACAACTGTTAATAGTGTATCACCAAAGGGCCTTAAATATAGCAAACTAAAGGAAAATGAAATAAAATACACAAAAAAGAAAAAGAACCGTCATTTGAAATTATTCAAGATACGGAAGTGGTTTAAGAGTGAAAGTCGTTAAAGAGTATCTCTACTGAAGGTAGTTTTTTTATTTTTTATCTAGATTAGACTTTTCCTACAATCAGCTGTGGTCGATTTTACGACTTGTAGCAACATGAATGGCTGTTTCCGTACCAGTACTTTATATACAAGTGAAGAGAATGTCAATTTACAGCTTTATACTAATTTTTCCAGATCAAACCATTATGGTACAGAGTGGAAACGGAGCAGCAAGTGAGAGTGATGTTACATCACATGGTACCGGCCAAGAGCTGAAATTTGATGATGACATACTAAAAAGTAAAGATTCTTACAACTGTTAAAAGTGTATCACCAAAAGACCTTTAACATGAGAAATTTAAGGGGAAATGAAAGAAAAGATACAGAAAGGAAAAAAACCTTCATGTGATAACATTCAACATTTGATGCATGAAGACTGAAAGTCGTTAAACATTATCTCCACGGAAGGTGTTTTTTACTTTTTATCTAATATTAGTTAATACTAGTTAATACTAGTTAATATTAATTTAAAGCTTTTTACCGATTTTTCCAGATCAAACCATTATGGCACAGAGTGGAAACGGAGCAGCAAGTGAGATTGATGTTACATCACTTGGTACCGGACAAGAGCTGAATTTTGATGATGACACACTGAAAGGTAAAGATTCTTACAACTGTTAATAGTGTATCACCAAAAGACCTTTAATATAGCAAACTAATGACAAATAAAATAAAATATGCAAAAATGACAAAAAATCGTCATTTGAAAACATTCAACAAACGGAAGTGGTTAAAGAGTCAAAGTCGTTAAACAGTATCTCTACTGAAAGTAGTTTTTTAAATTTTTATCTAGATTAGACTTTTCCTAGAATCATTTGAGGTCGATTTTACGACTTGTAGCAACATGAATGGCTGTTTTCGTACTAGTACTTTATATACAAGTGAAGATAATGTCAATTTACAGCTTTATACTGATTTTTCCAGATCACACCATTATGGTACAGAGTGGAAACGGAGCAGCAAGTGAGAGTGATGTTACATCACATGGTACCGAACAAGAGCTGAACTTTGATGATGATACACTGAAAGGTAAAGATTCTTACAGCTGTTAATAGTGTATCACCAAAAGGCCTTTAACATGAGAAATTTAGGGAGAAATGAAATAAAAGATACAGAAAGGAAAAAAAAGCCGTCATTTGATAACATTTAACATTTGATACATGAAGACTTAAAGTCGTTAAACATTATCTCCACTGAAGGTGTTTTTTATTTTTTATCTAGATTAAACTTTTTCTACAATTTGTGCTCAATGAATTCGTTTTTCTTGCGGATTCGCCATTACATATAGCCCTGCATCTGTCTCGGGGAGGGGAGAGTATAGTAGAGTGTTACATTTTATCGCCTTTCATTGAGAAATTTTGCGGTATTATTGTGTTTGGCAAATTTTCATGCGGTACTTATGTAATTGTAGTCTTTAATTCTCATATTGTGGTATTTTCAGACATGGGGAATCTTTTTTTCATTGGCTCGGCGATTTAATTTTTGGCATGGTTTTGTTGAATTCGCCGATTTTTCTTCTCGGTGTTACGGTGTTCCGTATACCCCAAGTCGCTCTTTAATCTTATTTTTTGGGCATGCGTATACTTCTGCTACAAGACCGGCTTTAATAGCGTGATATTGTGCCCAGTTGCGGTTTTAGAAAGGTTTACCAAACAATATTTCCATGATAATTTGTTATGCACTTGAACCCATCAACAGAAACAATTAGTAAGGCATTTATATTAACGGATGCTGAAATCCTATGGTGCAGCCACAGCACCTTCACATTGTACCATTTATTATTATAGTTCTTATAACTATTATATTATTCTTAATATTATTACTATTTGAAAAGGTTATTTTAGCTTTAATCCAATCTTAACTTTTTGTAGTTTTGAAAGTAAGAAAAGTGTTGGTGTTGATGTGGTCATAGCAGCCAAGGCATCTTTAAGTAGCAAACCGAATTTATATACTTAACAATGTTTTTATCAGGAAGTATTACCAATAACGAAAGCTGTTGCAAATTATGATGATTATCCCCTTAAGTTCTAGAAAGCTAAAAGTAAACTTACCGAGTTTAACTTGCACCAAAAAGAAACAATATGTTAATAAGGATTATTGCTGCAATTGTCTCCTGATTCTGTTTTCAAATATGATTCTGTCACGTGTTACTGAAGTGGTACTGCAACTCCCTGCTGCTACTAAGTCGATTGACTAGGGAAACAAAAAAAAACTGCAACAACCGTCGCTCTGAATCTGAAACTGAATCAGCCACCGAGATTGTCGAAAAGTGAGTTGGCAATGGTTGGTTACTAGGGTGGCCTAAGCGACTGAGCTACTAAATTCTGGAAAACAGTTTCGTGTCTTGAATGAAAGCACAATGGAAAATTGAATCAGATTACGTGTACTGTCCTGTTGTTTGAAAATTACTTCACCACGCATTTCATGACTGCCTGCCACAGAATTTTGATTGATTTGGTCAGTCAATAAAAGTTTTATACTAATGTGAGTTTACCGCTTGTGGCAAAATGAATGGTTGTTTTGGTAACAGTGCTTATACAGATGAAGTGAAGTTAATATCAATTTAAAGCTTTTTCCCGATTTTTCCAGATCAAACCATTATGGCACAGAGTGGAAACGAAGCAGCATTTGAGAGTGATGTTACATCACTTGGTACCGGACAAGAGCTGAATTTTGATGATGACACACTAAAAGGTAAAGATTCTTACAACTGTAAATAGTGTATCACCAAAACGCATTTAATATAGCAAACTAAGGGGAAATGAAATAAAATATACAAAAAAGACAAAAAACCGTCATTTGAAACAGGCATTCAACATACGGAAGTGGTTAGAGAGTCAAAGTCGTTAAACAGTATCTCTACTGGAGGTGGTTTTTTAACTATTTATCTAGATTAGGCTTTTCGTAGAATTTGTGGTCGAGCCACTTGTGGCAAAATGAATGGCTGTTTTGGTACTAATGCTTTATATACAAGTGAAGATAATGTCGATTTACAGCTTTATACTGATTTTTCCAGATCAAACCATTATGGTACAGAGTGGAAAGGGAGCAGCAAGTGAGAGTGATGTTACATCACTTGGTACCGGACAAGAGCTGAACTTTGAAGATGACACACTGAAAGGTAAAGATTCTGACAACTGTTAATAGTGTATCACCAAAAGGCCTTTAACATATTAGAAATTTAAGGAGAAATGAGATAAAAGATACAGAAAGGGAAAAAAACCGTCATCTGATAACATTCAACATACATAAAGACTGAAAGTCGTTAAACATTATCTCCACTGAAGGTGTGTAACGAGACGAAGACGGAAATGAACATGCTAAAACGTTGCACGCCATAGTCCGCATTGTACTCTTATCTTTTGTACCTACAATTATAATTCAACAATTTATTTTTTTTATACCATAGCAAGTTTCTTTCTAAAGGGGTATTCCGGATTTCAAGAGACGTGGATGACCGAATGGGGGCAAAAAACAAAACCCCAAAAATTCCTTGGACAAAAAATTAACTCCGATAAAAATCCTGTACAGAACTACGCACCACCAAGATTATTCAGTTAAAATTAAGCCAACTAAGAAAATACTTGGCAAATTTTTCCTACCCCAAAAGAATCCCGGAATTGAAAATTTTAGACCCAAAAAATCCTTCGATCATCGCCGTCACTTGAAATCCGGAGAACCTCCACTGGAGTTTCGTTCCACCCCAAATTTCTTAATCGAAAGTTTTGCTTATGACGTACTTCATAACCGCAAAACAGATTGTCAAATACGAAGCTGAGTAGAAGAGATCTACAAGTAAAAAGGAATGGGAAAAGAACCAAGTATCTTCTATTTTTTGGGAACCGAAATACACTCAACTCGAAAACGAAGAACTCTCACCTCCGGTGAAAGGGCCTCAGTCAACTAAAATGGGTCAGTTAATTTGAAGTGTGACTATCCCCTTTAGGCATTTGCGTTGCCTCTAGGCCCTTTTGCCCACTGCACTGTGGGGCATTTAAAATCAAACGTCTGTCTCGGGGAGGGGAGAGTACAGTAGAGGTTTACATTTTTAGCGCCTTACATTGAGAAAGTTTGCGGAATTATTGTGTTTGGCAAATTTTCATATGGTATTTTAATTATGTACTTGTGGTCTTGAATTCTGATATTATGGTATTTCTAAACATACGGAATTTTTTTGTGATTGGCAGGCGATTTTAGCATGCTTGTATCGAATTTCTCGATTTTTCTTTGCTCTCTTACGGTGTTCCGTATACCCCAAGCCGCTCTTCAATCTTTTTTTTCTGCGCATGCGTATACTTCTGCTACAAGACCGGCTTTAATAGCGTGATATTGTGCCCAGTTGCGGTTTTAGAAAGGTTTACCAAACAATATTTCCATGATAATTTGTTATGCACTTGAACCCATCAACAGAAACAATTATTAACTAAAGGCATTTATATTAACGGATGCTGGAATCCTATGGTGCAGCCACAGCACCTTCACATTGTACCATTTATTATTTTAATTATTGTAACTATTATATTATTATTATTATTATTATTATTACTACTACTATTTGAAAAGGTTATTTTAGTCTTAATCGAATCTTAAGTGTTTGTGGTTTTGAAAGTAAAAAAGAGTTGTTGTTGCTGTAGTCATAGCAGCCAAACATCTTTAAGTAGCAAACCGAATTTTATATGCTTAACAGTGTTTTTATCACGAATTTTTATCAACAAAGTATTACCAATAACGAAACCTGTTCCAAATTATGACGATTATCTCGTTATGTTCTGTAAAGCTAAAAGTAAACTTTACCGACTTTCACTTGGACCAAAGAGCAACAATATGTTTATAAGGATTACTGCTGCAATTGACTCCTGATTCTGTTTTCAAATATGATTCTGTCAGGTGTTAGTGAAGTGGCACTGTAACTCCCTGCTGCTACTAAGTCGATTGACCAGGGTAACAAAAAAACTGCAAAAACCGTCGCTGTGAATCTGAAACTGAATCAGCCACCGAGATTGTCGAAAAGTGAGTTGGCCGTGGTTGGTTAATGGGGTCGCCTGAGCGACTGGGCTAGTGAATTGTTGAAAGTAGTTTCATTTCTTGATTGAAAGCACAATGGAAAACTGAATCAGAAAACGTGTACTATCCTGTTGTTTGAAAATTACTTCACCACGCATTTCGTGACTGCCTGCTACAGAATTTCGATTGATTTGTTTAGTCAATAAAAGTTTTATACTAATGTGAGTTTGCCACTTGTGGCAAAATGAATGGTTGTTTTGGTAACAGTGCTTATACAAGTGAAGATAATATTAATTTAAAGCTTTTTCCCATTTTTCCAGATCAAACCATCATGGCACAGAGTGGAAACGGAGCAGCATGTGAGAGTGATGTTACATCACATGGTACCGGACAAGAGCTGAACTTTGATGATGACACACTGAAAGGTAAAGATTCTTACAACTGTTAATAGTGTATCACAAAGAGGCTTTTAATATAGCAAACTAAGGAGAAATGAAATGAAATATACAAAAAAGAGAAAAAACCTTGTTTTGAAAACATTCAACACACGAAAGTGGTTAAAGAGTCAAAGTCGTTAAACAGTATCTCTACTGGAGGTGGTTTTTTAACTTTTTATCTAGATTTGGCTTTTCCTAGAATTTGTGGTCGAGTTTAGCACTTGTGGCAAAATGAATGGCTGTTTTGGTACTAGTGCTTTATTTACAAGTGAGGATAATGTCAATTTACAGCTTTATACTGATTTTTCCAGATCAAACCATTATGGCACAGAGTGGAAACGGAGCAGCATGTGAGAGTGATGTTACCTCACATGGTACCGGACAAGAGCTGAATTTTAATGATGACACACTGAAAGGTAAATAAATAAAAGATACAGAAAAGAAAAAAAAATCCGTCATCTGAAAACATTTAACATACGGAAGTGGTTAAAGAGTCAAAGTCGAAGGCGGCCTTTTAACATTTTATCTAGATTAGGCTTTTTCTAGAATTTGTGGCCGACGAATGCTGAATTTTTTCCCGGCAGGTATGATTTCTTTTTTCCTGCCAACCCGAAAGATGGACAGTGTAAGTTCCGTCTAGCGCTACAAATGTAATCCTTTTCTAGCTTTTTTGGCGTTTTTAACTTTAGAAAGTGAGTCTAAGTGACGACCAAATTTGCCACTATTCTGTGACCAATGTCATGGTCAACGCCATTTATGAGTTAACAAGTGACACCATTTGCCTAACCGGGGAATAAATGACCCCTGTCATGATCATTTTTTTTTTTGTTTTAATCTGTAGCAAAGAGACGAAGACGGAAATGAACATACCAAAAAGTTGCACACGATAGTCTGTATTGCACTCTTACCTTGTGTACTCACAATTATAAATCACCATTCTATTTTTTTCACCATAGCAAGTTTCGTTCCCAAAAGGTATTCCGGATTTTAATAGACGTGGATGAACGAATGGGGGCAAAAATCAAAACCCTAAAAATTCCCTGGACCAAAAATTAACCCCCCCCCCCAAAAAAAAAAAAAAAATCCTATACAGAACTACGCACCGACAATATTATTCAGTTAAAATCGAGCCAACTAAGAAAATACTTGCCAAATTTTTCCTACCCCAAAAGAATCCCGGAATTTAAAATTTTAAACCCAAAAAATCCTTCTATCATCGCCGTCACTTGAACTCCGGAGTACCTCCACTGGAGTTTCGTTCCACCCCAAATTTCGAAAGTTTTGCTTATGACATACTTTATAACAGCAAAACAGATTGTCGAATACGAAGCTGAATCGGAGAAACCTGCAAGTAAAAAGGAAAGAATCACGAATGGAACAAAAAAAAAAAGTACCCTGTATTTTTTGGAAACCGAAATACACTCAACTCGAAAACGAAGAACCCTCAACGCCGGTGAAAGGGTGTGCAATAAAACAAATGGGTCAGTTAATTTGAAGCGTGACCATCCCCTTTGGGTATTTGCGTTGCCTCGACGTACTCTTACCCATTGTTGGGTATTTGGAATCAAATGTTTTGGCTCGCGGAGGGGAGAGTATAGTAGAGGTTTACATTTTTAACGCCTTACATTGAGAAAGTTTGCGGTATTGTGGTGTTTGGCAAATTTTCATGCGGTACTTATGTAATTGTGGCCTTGAATTCTGATATTGTGGTATTTCTAAACATGCCGAAGTTTTTGTGATTGGCTCGGGGATTTTTAGCATGGTTGTGTCGAATTTCTCGATTTCTCTTTGCAGTGTTACGGTGTTCCGTATACCCCTAGCCGCTCTTCAATGTTTTTTTTTTTGCGCATTCGTATACTTCTGCCAAAAGACCAGCTTTGATAGTGTGATAAATGGCTGTGGTCACACTTGGGATTTGACGTTGGTAAAAGGCTTTAACCGTGGTAAAAAGGATGTAAAAAACCTTTACTATAGTAAAACCCATTACTTGACTTAACACGTTTCAGATGGTTTCCCAACAGAAATGTGTCACTCAAATGATGAGCCTGAGGACAGGTGATCGTTCTTACGACATTCATTGAATGTTTTATTTTTCATCCAGTTACATGACTGTCTGTACATCATTCATTCACTGAAAATTGTGCCGCTGCTGATACTGCTTCTATCGCATTATTTTCTCGGCCGAATATAAGCGGTCCATGCTGAATTGCTTCGTGGCCGTGATTGTCTGAAAAACGGCCCGGTGGGATTACGAAACTATTGCGGAATGGTGGAACTCTAAAGTGAAAAGAACATGCAGGTTTCTTAAAAAAAGCGTGCCAACCAAAATCCATGTTCAGACAATAGGTAGAAAAAATATGGCTACACGGAATAAAAAACAGCTGAATTGAATGATTTACTTCTAAATTTATGCTCGACTCAGAAATGAAACACGAACATTAGATGTAGGCGTATGATTCCTTGAAGTCCAGAATTTACTGTGGAATTACCTCGAATGAAAGCGAAAATTGTCTGAGTCACTGTGACATCTCTACTGTACTGTTTGGCACGAAAAAAGGAAAAGAATAGGCTGGCGGCGCTAAAAATACAGCAACGTGACACTTAGGGAACGTATCTCAAATAATGCGACTAGATGTCAACTGAATAAACAAAGTTTCGATATATCAGCGATAAACCACATCGTTTTAGGAAAGTTTACTATAGTAAACTTTGCTTTCATCCTACCCCCGTTGCCACCGCAACAGACTAGATCTGTGTTTACCATAAAAAAATGGGAAAAGCCGATCACATTAGAAAACGTGTTTACAGTAGTAAACTCGACTTTACTATAGTAAAACAAGCCCAAGTGTGACCACAGCCAAATTGTGACCAGTTGCGGTTTTAGAAAGATTTACCAAACAATATTCCCATGATAATTTGTTATGCGTTTGAACCCATCAACAGAAATGATTAGCAAGGCATTTATAATAACGGATGCTGAAATCCTATGGTGCAACCACAGCACCTTCACATTGTACCATTTATTATTATAATTATTATAACTATTATATTATTATTATTATTTCTATTTGAAAAGGTTATTTTAGTGTTAATCCAATCTTAAGTTTTTGTAGTTTTGAAAGTAAAAAAAGTGTTTTTGTTGATGTGGTCATACCAGCCAAACATCTTTAAGTAGCAAAACGAATTTATATACTTAACAGTATTTATCCCGAGTTTTTATCAACAAAGTAATACCAATGACGAAAGCCGTAGCAAATTATGACGATTATCCCGTTACGTTCTATAAAGCTAAAAGAAAAGTTTACCGAATTTCACTAGCACCAAAAAGAAACAATATGTTTATAAGGATTATTGCTGCAATTGACTCCTAATTCTGTTTCCAAATATGGTTCTGTCACGTCTTACTGAAGTGGTACTGTTAACTCCCTGCTGCCACTAAGTCGATTGACTAGGGTAACAAAAAAGAACTACAAAAAACGTCTCTCTAAATCTGAAACTGAATCAGCCACCGAGATTGTCGGAAAGTGAGTTGGCAATGGTTGGTTACTAGAGTGGCCTGAGCGACTGGGCTAGTGAATTCTTGAAAGCAGTTTCATGTCTTGATTGAAAGCACAACAAAAAACGGAATCAGATTACGTGTACTGTCCTGTTGTTTGAAAATTACTTCACCACGCATTTCATGACTGCCTGCCACAGAATTTTGATTGATTTGTTCACTCAATAAAAGTTTTATACTAATGTGAGTTTACCACTTGTCGCAAAATGAATGGTTGTTTTGGTAACAGTGCTTATACAAGTGAAGTTGATATTAATTTAAAGCTTTTTACTGATTTTTCCAGATCAAACCATTATGGCACAGAGTGGAAACGGAGCAGCATGTGAGAGTGATGTTACATCACTTGGTACCGGACAAGAGCTGAACTTTGATGATGACACACTGAAAGGTAAAGATTCTTACAACTATTCATAGTGTCTCACCAAAAGGCCTTTAACATAACAAACTAAGGAGAAATGAAATAAAATATACCCAAAAAAAACCCCGTCATTTGAAAACATTCTAACCGGGGAATAAATGATCTCTGTCGTATTTTTCGTATTAATATGTGGCAAAGAGACGACGACGGACATGAACGCACAAAAAAGTTGCACACGATAGTCTGTATAATTGTACTCTTATCTTTTGTACCACAATTATAATTCACCATTTTATTTTTTTAATACCATAGCAAGTTTCGTTTGCAATGGGTATTCTGGATTTCAAGACACGTGGATGACCGAATGGGGGCAAAAATCAAAACCGCCGAAATTCCCTGGACCAAAAATTAACTGCCAAAAAAATCCTATACAGAACTGCGCACCACCAAGATTATTCAGTTAAAATCAAGCCAACGGAGAAAATACTTGCCAAATTTTTCCTACCCCAAAAGAATCCCGGAATTGAAAATTTTAAACCCAAAAAATCCTTCGATCATCGCCTTCACTTGAAATCCGGACTACCTCAACTGGAGTTTCGTTCCACCCCAAATTTCTTAATCAAAAGTTTGCTTATGGCGTACTTCATAACCGCAAAACAGATTGTCGAATACGAAGCTGAATCGGAGAGACCTACAAGTAAAAAGGAAAGAACCACGAATGGAAAAAACAAACAAGTACCCTGTATTTTTTGGAAACCGAAACACACTCAACTCGAAAACGAAGAACCCTCAACGCCGGTGGAAGGGTGTGCAATAAACCAAATGGGTCCGTAAATTTGAAGCGCGACCATCCCCTTTGGGTATTTGCGTTGCCTCGACGTACTCGTACCCGTTGTTGGGTATTTGGAATCAAATGTTTTGGCTCGGGGAGGGGAGAGTATAGTAGAGGTTTACATTTTTAGCGCCTTACATTGAAAAAATTTTGCGGTATTGTAGTGTTTGGCAAATTTTCATGCGGTACTTGTGTAATTTTGGCCTTGAATTCTGATATTGTGGTATTTCTAAACATGCCGAAGTTTCTGTGATTGGCTCGGGGATTTTTAGCGTGGTTGTGTCGAATTTCTCGATTTCTCTTTGCAGTGTTACGGTGTTCCGTATACCCCTAGCCGCTCTTCAATGGTTTTTTTTTGCGCATGCGTATACTTCTGCCAAAAGACCAGCTTTGATAGTGTGACAAGTTGCGGTTTTAGAAAGGTTTACCAAACAATATTCCCATGATAATTTTTTATGCGTTTGAACCCATCAACAGAAATAATTAGCAAGGCATTTATAATAACGGATGCTGAAATCCTATGGTGCAACCACAGCACCTTCACATTTTACCATTTATTATTATAATTATTATAACTATTATATTATTATTATTATTATTACTATTTGAAAAGTTATTTTAGTGTTAATCCAATCTTAAGTTTTTGTAGTTTTGAAAGTGAAAAAAGTGTTGTTGTTGATGTGGTCATAGCAGCCAAACATCTTTAAGTAGCAAACCGAATTTATATACTTAACAGTGTTTTTATCCCGAGTTTTTATCAACAAAGTATTACCAATGACGAAAGCCGTTGCAAATTATGAAGATTATCCCGTTACGTTCTATAAAACTAAAAGTAAACTTTACCGAATTTCACTAGCACCAAAAAGAAACAATATGTTTATAAAGATTATTGCTGCAATTGACTCCTGATTCTGTTTCCAAATATGGTTCTGTCACGTCTTACTGAAGTGGTACTGTAACTCCCTGCTGCTACTAAGTCGATTGACTAGGGTAACAAAAAATAACTGCAAAAAATGTCGCCCTAAATCTGAAACTGAATCAGCCACCGAGATTGTCGGAAAGTGAGTTGGCAATGGTTGGTTACTACGGTGTTCTGAGCGACTTAGCTACTGAATTCTGGAAAGCAGTTTCATGTCTTGAATGAAAGCATAACGGAAAACTGAATCAGATTACGTTACTGTCCTGTTGTTTGAAAACTCCTTCACCACGCATTTCATGACTGCCTGCCACAGAATTTTGATTGTTTTGTTCAGTCAATAAAAGTTTTATACTAATGTAAGATTACCACTTGTGGCAAAATGAATGGTTGTTTTGGTAACAGTGCTTATGCAAGTGAAGTTAATATTAATTTAAAGCTTTTCACTCATTTTTCCAGATCAAACCATTATGCCTCAAACGTCAAATGAATGTGCCCTGGTCTGTGGATTACAAGTTTATTGTTTGATTTAAATTATGAATTTATTAACGGGAGCTTCGCTTTTAGCCCTGGCTAAATCTATATATTACAGAAAACTAAGGAGAAATGAAATAAAATATACCAAAAAGACAAAAAAAACCCATTTGAAAACATTCAACATACGGAAGTGGTTAAACCTTATCTCTACTGAAGGTGGTTTTTTAACTTTTTATCTAGATTAGGCTTTTCCTAGAGTCAGTTGTGATCGAGTTTACCACTTGTGGCAAAATGAATGGCTGTTTTGGTACTAGTGCTTTATATACAACTGAAGATAATGTCAATTTACAGCTTTATACTCATTTTTTCAGATGAAACCATGATGGCACAGAGTGGAAACGGAGCAGCAAGTGAGGGTGATGTTACATCACTTGGTCCCGTACAAGAGCTGAACTTTGATGATGACACACTCAAAGGTAAAGATTCTTACAACTGTTAATAGTGTATCACCAAAAGGCCTTTAACATAGAAATTTAAGGAGAAATGAAATAAAACATACAGAAAGAAAAAAACCGTCATTTGATAACATTCAACACACATAAAGACTGAAAGCCGTTGAAGGTGTTTTTTTCTTTATATCTAGATTAAACTTTTTCTAAAATTTGTGGTCGACGACTTCTTCCTTTATCTTGCGGATTCATTGTTACATATAGGCCTGCATTAGCTGTCGCCAAGTATGATTCCTATTTTCCCGCCAACCCGAAGGATGCACACGCACCGCATAACGGTTTATTAGTGTGAGCTACAAATTTGATACATTTTCTGCTTTCTTAGCATTTTTAACATCAGAAAGTGAGGAACGGAACGATCAAATTTGGCCCTATTTCACACATCTGTGACCAATGTCATGATCAACGCCATTGATGAGTTAACAAGTAACATCATTTGTCTAACCGGGCAATAAATGATCTCTGTCGTATTTTTCGTTTTATAATCTGTAGCAACGAGACGAAGACGGAAATGAACATACTAAAAAGTTGCACTCGATAGTCCGCATTGTACTCTTATCTTTTGTAACCACAATTATAAATCAACATTTTATTTTTTTATACCATAACAAGTTTCTTTCTAAAGGGGTATTCCGGATTTCAAGGGACGTGGATGACGGAATGTGGGCAAAAATCAAAACCGCCAAAATTCCCTGGACCAAAAATTAACTCCCAAAAAAATCCCATACAGAACTACGCACCACCAAGATTATTCAGTTAAACTCAAGCCAACCAAGAAAATACTTGCCAAATTTTTCCTACCCCAAAAGAATCCCGGAATTTAAAATTTTAAACCCAAAAAAATCCTGCCGATCATCGCCGTCACTTGAAATCCGGAGTACCTCCACTGGAGTTTCGTTCCACCCCAAATTTCTTAATCGAAAGTTTTGCTTATGACGTGTTTCATAACAGCAAAACAAATTTTCGAATACGAAGCTGAATCGGAGAGACCTACAAGTAAAAACGGAACAACCACGAATGGTAAAGGAACCAAGTATCCTGTATTTTTTGGAAGCCGAAATACACTCAACTCGAAAACGAAAAACCCTCACCTCCGGCGAAAGGGCCTGCTGCAATCAACTAAAATGGGTCACTTAATTTGAAGTGTGACTACCCCCTTTAGGCATTTGCGTTGCCTCTAGCTGGGCTCTTTTGCCCACTGCACTGTGGGGTATTTGGAATCAAATGTTTGTCTCGGGCAGGGGAGAGTATAGAAGAGTTTTACATTTTTAGCGCCTTACATTGAGAAAGTTTACGGTATTATTGTGTTTGGCAAATTTTCATGCGGTAGTTATGTAATTGGGGTCTTGAATTCTGATATTGTGGTATTTCTAAACATGCGGAATTTTTTTTATTGGCTCGCCGATTTTTAGCACGGTTGTGTCGAATTTCTCGATTTTTCATTGCGATGTTACGGTGTTCCGTATACCCCTAGGCGCTCTTCAATCTTTTTTTTGCGCATGCGTAAACTTCTCCTACAAGACCGGCTTTGATAGTGTGATATTGTGCCCAGTTGCGGTTTTAGAAAGGTTTACCAAACAATATTCCCATGATAATTTGTTATACGGTTAGACCCATCAACAGAAACAATTAGCAAGGCATTTATAATAATGGATGTTCAAATCCTATGGTGTAACCAAAGCACCTTCACATTGTACCACTTCTTATTATAATTATTATGACTATTATATTATTATTATTATTGTTATTATTATTATTATTATTATTATTATTGTTATTATCTGAAAGGGTTATTTTAGTGTTCATCCAATCTTAAATTTTTGTAGTTTTGAAAGTAAAAAAGTGTTGTTGTTGATGTGGTCATAGCAGCCAAACATCTTTAAAACATCTTAATTAAGTAGCAAACGGAATTTATATACTTAACAAGTGAAGTTAATATTAATTTCAAGCTTTTTTCCCATTTTCCAGATCAAACCATTATGGCACAGAGTGGAAGCGGAGCAGCAGGTGAGAGTGATGTAAGATCACTTGGTACCGGACAAGAGCTGAATTTTGATGATGACACACTGAAAGGTAAAGATTCTGACAACTGTTAATAGTGTATCACCAAAAGGCCTTTAATATAGCAAACTAATGACAAATGAAATAAAACATACAAAAATAACAAAAAACCGTCATTTGAAAACATTCAACAAACGGAAGTGGTTAAAGAGTCAAAGTCGTTAAACATTATCTCTACTGAAGGTGGTTTTTTAATTTTTTTTAATCTAGATTAGGCTTTTCCTAGAATCACTTGTGGTCGATTTTACCACTTGTAGCAAAATGAATGGCTGTTTTGGTACTAGTGCTTTATATACAAGTGAAGATAATGTCAATTTACAGCTTTATACTGATTTTTTCAGAACAAACCATTATGGTACAGAGTGGAAACGGAGCAGCAAGTGAGAGTGATGTTACATCACATGGTACCGAACAAGAGCTGAACTTTGATGACGACACACTCAAAGGTAAAGATTCTTACAACCGTTAATAGTGTATCACCAAAAGGCCTTTAACATGAGAAATTTAAGGAGAAATGAAATAAAAAATACAGAAAAGAAAAAAAACCGTCATTTGATAACATTCAACATTTGATACATGAAGACTGAAAGTCGTTAAACATTATCTCCACTGAAGGTGTTTTTTATTTTTTATCTAGATTATACTTTTTCTAAAATTTGTGGTCGATGAATACGTTTTCCTTCCGGATTCACCATTACATATAGCCCTGCATCTGTCTTGGGGAGGGGAGAGTATAGTATATTGCTACATTTTTAGCGCCTTACATTGAGAAAATTTTGCGGTATTATTGTGTTTGGCAAATTTTCATGCGGTAGTTACGTAATTGTGATCTTTAATTCTAATATTGTGGTATTTCTAAATATGGGGAATCTTTTTTGATTGGTTTGGAGATTTTTAGCATGGTTTTGTCGAATTTGTCGATTTTTCTTTGCGGTGTTACGGTGTTCGGTATACCCCTAGCCGCTCTTTAATCTTATTTTTTGCCCATGCGTATACTTCTGCTACAAGACCGGCTTACATAATGTGATATCGTGCCCAGTTGCGGTTAAAGAAAGGTTTACACTTAAGTGCCAAACAGTATTCCCATGATAATTTGGTATGCGGTTGGACCCATCAACAGAAACAATTACAAAGGCATTTATAATAAAGGATGTCGAAACCCTATGCTGCAGCCACACCACCTTCAAATTGTGCCATTTATTACTATTATTACTGTTGCAAAAGGTTATTTTATAGTGTTAATCCAATATTAGGTTTTTGTAGTTTTGAAAGCAAAAAAAGTGTTGTTGTTCATGTGGTCAAACATCTTTAAGTAGCAAACCGGATTTATATAATTAACAATGTTTTTATCAGGAATTTTATCAAAAAAGTATTGCCAATAACGAAAGCTTTTGCAAATTATGACGATTGTCTCGTTAAGTTCGATAAAACTAAAAGAAAACTTTACCGAATTTCACTCGTACCAAAAAGAAGCAATATGTTTATAAGGATTATTGCTCCAATTGACTCCTGATTTTGTTTTCAAATATGGTTCTGTCACGTCTTACAGAAATCGTACAATAACTCCCTGCTCCTACTAAGTCGATTGACTAGGGTAACAAAAAAAAACGGCAAAAAACGTCGCTCTGAATCTGAAACTGAATCAGCCAACGAGATTGTCGAAAAGTAAGTTGGCAGTGGTTGGTTACTAGGGTGGCCTGAGCGACTGAGCTACTGAATTCTTGAAAGCAGTTTCATGTATTGATTGAAAGCAAATGGAAAACTCAATCAGTTTACGTGTACTGTCCTGTTGTTTGAAAATAACTTCACCACGCATTTCATGACTGCCTCCCACAGAATTTGGATTGACTTGTTGAGTCAATAAAAGTTTTACACTAATGTGAGTTTTACCACTTGTGACAAAATGAGTGGTTGTTTTGGTAACAGTGCTTATATAAGTGAAGTTAATATTAATTTAAAGCTTTTTACCGATTTTTCCAGATCAAACCATTATGGCACAGAGTGGAAACGGAGCAGCATTTGAGAGTGATGGTACATCAAATGGTACCGGACAAGAGCTGAATTTTGATAATGGGACACTGAAAGGTAAAGATTCTGACAACTGTTAATAGTGTATCACCAAAAGTCCTTTAATACAGCAAACTAAGGACAAATGAAATAAAATATACAAAAAAGACAAAAAAACCGTCCTTTAAAAACATTCAACATACGGAAGTGGTTGAAGAGTCAAAGTCGTTAAACATTATCTCTACTAGGTATCTAGATTAGGCTTTTCCTAGAATTTCTGGTCGAATTTCGCACTTGTGGCGAAACGAATGGCTGTTTTGGTAACAGTGCTCATACAAGTGAAGTTAATATTAATTTAAAGCTCTTTACTGATTTTTCCAGATCAAACCATTATGGCACAGAGTGGAAACGGAGCAGCATGTGAGAGTGATGGTACATCAAATGGTACCGGACAAGAGCTGAATTTTGATGATGACACACTGAAAGGTAAAGATTCTGACAACTGTTAATAGTGTATCACCAAAAGTCCTTTAATACAGCAAACTAAGGACAAATGAAATATAATATACAAAAAAGACAAAAAAACCGTCCTTTGAAAACATTCAACATACGGAAGTGGTTACAGAGTCAAAGTCGTTAAACATTATCTCTGCTGAAGGTATCTAGATTAGGCTTTTCGTAAAATTTGTGGTCGTCTTTACCACTTGTGGCAAAATGAATGGCTGTTTTGGTACTAGTGCTTTATATACAAGTGAAGAAAATGTCAATTTAAAGTTTTATACTGATTTTTCCAGATCAAACCATCATGGCACAGAGTGGAAACGGAGCAGCAAGTGAGGGTGATGTTACATCACTTGGTACCGGACAAGAGCTGAATTTTGATGATGACACACTGAAAGGTAAAGATTCTGACAACTGTTAATAGTGTATCACCAAAAGGCCTTTAACATAGAAATTTAAGGAGAAATGAAATAAAAGATACAGAAAGGAAAAAAACAAACGTCATTTGATAACATTCGACATACATAAAGACTGGCGATAAACATTATCTCCACTGAAGGTGTTTTTTATTTTTTATCTAGATTAAACTTTTTCTAAAATTTGTGGTCGACGAATTCCTTTATCTTGCGGATTCACTGTTAATGTAGCCCTGCATTAGATCCCGGCAAGTATGATTTCTATTTTCCCACCAACCCGAAAGACGCACACGCACCGCATAACGGTCTATTAGTGTGAGCTACAAATTTAATGCATTTTCACCTTTTTTAGCATTTTTAACATCAGAAAGTGAGGAACGGAACGACCAAATTTGTCCCTATTTGACAAGTCTGTGACCAATGTCATGATCAACGCCATTGATGAGTTAACAAGTGACGGCATTTATCTAACCGGGAAATAAATTATCCCCGTCGTATTTTTCGTTTTGATCTGTAGCAAAGAGACGAAGACGGGAATGAACTCACAAAAAAGTTGCACACGATAGTCCGTATTGTACTCTTATCTTATGTACCAACAATTAGAATTCACCAGTATTTTTTTTATACCAAAGCAAGTTTCGTTCCCAAGGGGTGTTCCGGATTTTAAGAGACGTGGATGACCGAACAGGGGCAAAAATCAAAACCCCAAAAATTAACCCCCCAAAAAATCCCATACAGAACTACGCACCACCAACATTATTCAGTTAAAATCAAGCCAACTAAGAAAATACTCGCCAAATTTTTCCTACCCCCAAAGATTCCCGGAATTGAAAATTTTAAACCCAAAAAATCCTTCTATCTTAGCCGTCACTTGAAATCCGGAGTACCTTCACTGGAGTTTCGTTCCACCCCAAATTTCTTAATCGAAAGTTTTGCTTATGACGTACTTCATAATTGCAAAACAGAATGTCCAAAATAAAGCTGAATCGGAAAGACCTACAACTAAACAGGAAACAACCACGAATGGGAAAAGAACCAAGTATCTTCTACTTTTGAAAAACGAAATACACTCAACTCGAAAACGACGAACCCTCAACCCCGGTGAAAGGGCCTGCAATCAACTAAAATGGGTCAGTTAATTTGAAATGTGACCATCTCCTCTAGGCATTTCTGTTGCCTCTAGCTACCCTTACTGACGGTGGGACATTTTGAATCAATCGTCCGTCTCAGGGAGGGCAAAGTATGGTAGAGTTTTACATTTTTAGCGCCTTACATTGAGAAATTTTGCGGTATTGTGGTGTTTGGCAAAATTTTCATGCGGTACTTATGTAATTGTGGTCTTCAACTCTTATATTGTGGTATTTTTAAAAATGCGGAATTTTTTTGTGATTGGCTCGGCGATTTTAAGTATGGTTTTGTCGAATTTGTCGACTTTTCTTTGCGGTGTTACTGTGTTCGGAATACCCCTAGCAGCTCTACAATCGGGTTTTTTTTGCGCATGCGTATACTTTTGCTACAAGACCGGCTTTGATACTGTGATATCTTGTCCAGTTGCGGTTTTACAAAGGTTCACAGAAACAATTAGCAAGGCATTTATAATAACGGATGCTGAAATCCTATGATGCAACCACAGCACCTTCACATTGTACCATTTATTATTGTAATTATTATTATTATTATATTATTATTATTACTATTTGAAAAGGTTATTTCAGTGTTAGTCCAATCTTAAGGTTTTGTAGTTTGAAAGTAGAAAAAATGTTGTTGTCGATGTGGTCATAGCAGCCAAATATCATTAAGTAGCAAACCGGATTTATACAATTAACAATATTTTATCACGAATTTTTATCAACAAAGTATTACCAATAACGAAAGCCGTTGCAAATTATGACGATTATCCCCTTAAGTTCTATAACGCTAAAAATAAACTTTACCGAGTTTCACTTGCACCAAAAAGAAACAATATGTTTATAAGGGTCAATCTAATGATAGCAAATACCCGCAATTGCATGACTCCTGATTCTGTTTTCAATTATACTTCTATCACGTCTAACTGAAGTGGTACTGTAACTCCCTGCTTCTACTAAGTCGATTGACTACGTAACAATAAAAAACTGCAAAAAAAGGTCGGTCTGAATCTGAAACTGAATCAGCCACCGAGATTGTCGAAAAGTGTCAGTTGGCAATCTTTGGTTACTAGGGCGGCCTGAGCGACTGAGCTACTGAATTCTGGAAAGCAGTTTCATGTATTGATTAAAAGCACAATGGAAAAGTGAATCAGATTACGTGTACCGTCCTGTTGTTTGAAAATTACTTCACCACGCATTTCATGACTGCCTCCAACAGAATTTGGATTGACTTGTTGAGTCAATAAACGTTTTACACTAATGTGAGTTTTACCACTTGTGACAAAAATGAGTGGTTGTTTTGGTAACAGTGCTTATATAAGTGAAGTTAATATTAATTTAAAGCTTTTTACCGATTTTTCCAGATCAAACCATTATGGCACAGAGTGGAAACGGAGCAGCATTTGAGAGTGATGGTACATCAAATGGTACCGGACAAGAGCTGAATTTTGATAATGGGACGCTGAAAGGTAAAGATTCTGACAACTGTTAATAGTGTATCACCAAAAGTCCTTTAATAGCGGAGCTCCTCGCGCGCGCGCAGCGGAGCACCATGGGTAAGAAAATTTGGTAAACTATCCATCCGAGAAAATTTGGTTATGACGTAGCGTACGCCCGCCCGCCCACCGGTACACACGCTTCATGTAAGCCGATGTCAAATGTCACAATAGATCTTGCACAACTTGACTAGCCTCTTAGTTATGTAAGCCATCCGTATGAGTACGATTAGATTGACAGCTGTCAAAATTAGACATCCGATCACCTGACTATCTCGCGGGCTCAGATGAAAGACCAGTCGTTTTGCCCCTACATATAAGCTGATATAATATGTCAGGCTTACCAATTCAACATAAAAACGAAACTACGCCGGGCAAAGTTGTCAGTTGGCTGACAGTCGTTTAAAGTTATATTGGCAAGCCAAATTAAGGTCAATTGACAGCTGTCAAAATGGGACATGTGCAGACCACTATCAGAAAACTAATAACGTGGGCTCAGGTTCGCTCAGGTACACGATCTGGCATTTTCCACTACATGCCGGACGGATATGTCTTACTCACACTCGTAGTCTGTTAATTCGAATATTCGCCATTCTAATGAAGGTTAATTGACAGCTGTCAAACTAGAGTATACGCTGACCATCATCACCTGAGTGTATCGCGGGCTCATTTGTCTATCCATTGAGGTCACGTAAAAGTTTTGCGCTGATATTTTATTTGATCACGGGCTCAATTCGAAGTCCCATAGCTTAGAAAATCTATCCATCTTAGAAAATTCGGCAATCACGTGACCGTACACCGACCACCCGACCTTCCGTCCGTCCGCACCACAGGCATACCAATGTTTAATCTCACACTTTCTAGCTAGTTTGGGAGCCTGCAACCCGATATTGTACATATATGTTTTGATTAATTGACAGCTGTCAAAATAGTGTTTCTGCTGACCAGTATCGCCTGACCTTATCGCGGGCTCAGGTATCGACCCACTGAGTTCGAGTGTTTTTTTAACGTATCCGCTGACAGGTTGCTACTTTTCAATTATCGCAGGCTCAAGTTCAATTTTTTAAAAAAGCATACGAAATAAGTCGAGTTCCTGAGCCGCACTTTTAAAATGTTGATTTCGAACTGACCTCGGACGCGAAAATTCAACCGGCTTTTACATTTACATGCAGGGAAGGCAATCACTTTTGATTTTTCTCACTGTCACGCGTTGATCACGCTCTACGTCCAATTTTTATGTTCTGATTGGTCAAAATTTGACAGGTGATTTCATGCGGAAAATTTATGCAGCGTCTGGAAACTTGCTTACTGATAGCTGGAGCTTACAGAGTTCTGTGTCATCTTGTGATGTTTTAAACTGGCTTTATCTACTTGGTGTACAAAATTAAATACAGCTGCTATCAAGATTGTTCTGTAATTCATGCCTGGTTTGTTTATTGCGCTTTTTGTTGACAAATGCACCGCTTGTCAAAGTCATTGGAAATCCGATTTCGGATGGCATCGTTTTCAAAAATGAGCTTATTCTCTTTCCCTTGCTTGAGGCGTAAGAGGGTTGAAAATTCTGGAACACTTGATGACCTTCAGAAGCAGCATCTCGACTGGTAAGCCTGAGAAATTGTTGTCTTTGATGTGTTGTTTTTTTTCGGTTCCTGAAGTCGAGCCTATGGTTTATGCGGCTTAAGTTTATACACGAGCAATGATCTAACCTACAACAGTATCAGGTTTGAAAAGCCTTTAGACATTTTTTGACCGCAAATTCAAAGAAAATGTTCCGAAGATTATTTAGTTATGATTTTGGCTGTAAACAGAAAGCTCTGAGCGATTTTCTTGCCTCGAGTTCATCTTGAAAAAGAGCAAACGCCGGGAAGCCGGCTTAAAACATAAATAAGCTTATGCTTACCTGACTCATGATTTTCAGAGACACTTTACTCTCAATACTTCTCTTCGTGAATGAAAATTATTGTCTCTGTACATGTTTCACCGAATTATATTTATTTTATTGATTGTTAGTAGTCCCTCTCGCAATTTTTATCGCTGCACCGGTTGTATCCCAGTCGAACATAAACATCTCATGCAGGAATACTCAAAACGCCGCTCGTAAATATCACTCGCTTTTAAAGATTACACATTACAAAACCATACGCAGTTTAATAAACAAAGGGAAATAAAACCTAAACATAACAATTTATCTATCATGTTGGAGCGTAAATGGTAACTCTATTAATCGCACTGCAAATTTGGTGCCTGTCAAAAGTGAGACCTGTCCGGCTGGCCGAAAAGTGATTTTGGGAATTTTTTATCGTTTTCATTAAAAGCCCATAATTATTACCCTGCATATCACATATAGGACCAGATTTTTCTAACTGAAAAGTCCTGGCATTATAGAATTCTCTTCATGAAAACGTATTATAATTCAGGAAGCGCGTGCTTTGATCGTCGTGGATATTGAATGAGTACAAATTCTCTTGCAAAATTGTGAAAAACTGCAGAATTATAGGTTTAAATAGGGCAAAAAAGAACAATTTTTGTCCGAGGTCTGTATGATAAAAACAAGGGCCTCATAGTACTGTTTACCTGAGACGTGATGAGAAAAAGTATGTTTAAAAGGCTGGTTTACACGCCACCAGATTCGTCGCCAAGATTTACTAGTAAACTAAACTTGTCGAACACAAAAAATCCGGCCTGATTTTTTATTTTGGCCTTTCTTTTAGACAGAGGAATGCAACGTGTAAATTGGCAGCCACCAAGGACTATCGTGGCGCGTGTGTTTCTTAAAATTATATTTCGGGGTTGTCCAATTATCCATAGTCTCTCAAACGTAGCAATGTTGGAGAGAGTGGTGAATGCCACATTATGATGCAGCAGCTAATGCAAATACAATACACGAATAGGTAGGTCTATTTGTTTTCCAGGCCTAATCTATTGTGATCGACCATGATTGCTATTTTTGGGTGTACAAATAAGACTATTTAATAACTCGATATAAAAGCTGTTTTACTCTTGGACTGTCAAATTATTTTTCTCTAAAATCACTTAGCCTTTGCCTCAAACGTCAAATGAATGTGCCCTGATCTGTGGATTACAAGTTTATTGTTTGATTTAAATTATGAATTTATTAACGGGAGCTTCGCTTTTAGCCCTGGATAAATCTATATATTACAGAAAACTAAGGAGAAATGAAATAAAATATACCAAAAAGACAAAAAAAACCCATTTGAAAACACTCAACATACGGAAGTGGTTAAACCTTATCTCTACTGAAGGTGGTTTTTTAACTTTTTATCTAGATTAGGCTTTTCCTAGAGTCAGTTGTGATCGAGTTTACCACTTGTGGCAAAATGAATGGCTGTTTTGGTACTAGTGCTTTATATACAACTGAAGATAATGTCAATTTACAGCTTTATACTGATTTTTCCAGATCAAACCATTATGGCACACCTGGAATTCGGAATCCGGAATGCGGAATTCGCAACCCTTTTTCCTTTTGTTATTTGTGGAAAAATCATTTCGCATTTACAATATTTTTTTTGTATCTCTTTTTTAAAATTATAGAATGTTAAGCAGGAAGTCTCAGAAGTCTTCTTAGCCTGCTCTAGGCACTAGGGGATTCCCCATCCAAACTGTCGCTGCTGTTGAAAGATGTCTCAATTTAAATATTTTACTTTAAGAGGAGATATATGAAACAGATAAACTATAATTCAAGAACAGCTAAACAGTGCAAATGTGAAGTGTCAATACGTCATTTTAAGCTTTTATTATTTTCCTTGCTCTCGCTATTTTTCCTCGTCTTTTCCTTTCTAAGTGTGATTTTCGGGCTCAGTGAGAAACGAACCATCTTGGCCTAATAATAATGTTACCCCTGTAAGTTGTCTCTTCTTTGCACCCAAGAAATCGACTTTAGAATGTCTTTCAATAGCCTGAGAATGACTTTTCCGGAACAGCTGACGCTCTGCCCCGCTTAGATTACAAACTTGGAAATGACTACGGTATGTTCTG